GAGGCAGGCTTCAGACAGAACCACAGGGATTGTTCTACCAGCCAACTAGCACTGGAAGAGACCTAAATGACAAAGCAGACCAAACCCACACTTGTATGGAGGAGGCAACAGGGCTCAGAGACAAGCGCACCGGCAGCCAACCCTGGCAAGATTCCAGAACCCTGACCCCCAGCACTGGCAGAAAATGGGGTGTGGGGGCTGCCCATGGAACCCAGTGGTCTGGGGTCAATTTGTGGACAGCACCAGTGACCAATTGTGTCAGCATCAAACAAGGCACAATACATTTGGTGCCAGGGCTTCTTTGTCTGTAAAGCAGGGATTGTTTGTTCCCTACCTCACAATATATGTACAAATCAGCATTAAATAGATGACAGACCTAAATACAGAGCTGAAACCATAAAATGCTTAAGCAGGGACTGGCATAGTACTGTAGTTTGGTTAAACCACAACCTGTGATGCAAACATCGTATTTGGGCACTGGTTCATGTCCCAGCTGCTCTGTTTCTGATCCAGCTTCCTGCTGATGTGACTGTGAAGGTGGCACAGGATGGCTCAGATGCTTTGGCCACTGTGTCCATGTGGGACACCAGCCATTTCAGCCATCTGAGGAATGAACCAGTAGATACAAGACCTCTCTCTCTTTATACTTTCAAAATAAAATAAATCTTAAAATGTTTTTTTAAAAATAGAGGGATTTTAAAAAGGTCATGGAAAGCTTGTATTATCTTTTTTTTAATATTCTTTTTTTTTTTTTTGGAAAGTCAGATTTATAGAGAGAAGGAGAGACAGAAAGAAAGACCTTCCAGCCTGTAAAACTGTGTCTCATGATGCAATGTAATAAAAAAAAAAAAAAAAAAAGAAAGACCTTCCATCTACTGGTTCACTCCTCAAGTGGCCGCAAGAGTTGTAGCTGAGGTAATCCAAACCCAGGAGCCAGAAGCTTCTTCCGGGTCTCCCACGTGGGTGCAGGGTCCCAAGGCTTTGAACAATCCTGCACTGCTCTGCTAGTGTACAAGCAGGAAGCTGGAAGGGAAATGGAGCAACCAGGACACAAACCAGCACCCATATGGGATCCCAGTGCATGCAAGGTGAGGATTTCAGCCACTAGTCTACCAGGCTGGGCCCAGGTATTATCTTTTTAAACATTTTAAATTTATTACTTGGACAGAAAACACGTTCCTGTGTCTGTTGGTTCACTCTCCAAATAACTACAACATCGGGGGTGAGGCTGGGGACAAAGCCTAGAGCCTGGGACACAATCCAGGTCTCCCTTGTTGCTGGCAGCGACCCAACTTACCAGAGCCATCACTGCTGCCTCCCAGGATGAGCAATGGCAGGAAGCTGGCATCAGGAGCCTCTGCTGGGAATTGAACCCAGGTTCTCCAATGCAGGATCCAGCTGTTGGAACTGCTAGACTAAAATACCCACTCCACACATTCCAGGAACTTACTGACATCATTCCCTTGTATATATAAATTTTCATGATACTGGCCTGGGAAATGATTTCTTACATATTAACACCAAAAGCACAATAAATAGGAAAAGAAGGGCCTGGCGCAGTAGCCTAGCGGTTAAAGTCCTCACCTTTCACTTGATGGGATCTCACATGAGCGCCAGCTCCCTGCTTGTGGTCTGGGAAAGCAGTCGAGGACAGCCCAAAGCCTTGGGACCCTCACCTGTGTGGGGGCCCAGAGGAGGCTCCTGGCTTCAGACTGGAGCAGCTCATGGCCATTGCAGCCACTTGGGGAGTGAATCAATGGACGGAAGATGTTCCTCTCTGTCTCTCCTCCTCTCTGTAAATCGGTCCTTCCAATAAAAATAAATAAACCTAAAAAAAGAACCCCACAAAAGTCTCTTGTGCAGCTGGCTGCTTCTGGTGTTTTGGTTTTTGGTGGCACACTTAAAAGAGCTTATACTTAAAAGAGCTAATACTGAAAAGACCTAACAATTTAACCAATAAATTGAATCATTAATGGAGTGGCTATTTAAAGTGGCAATTGGGTCACTTGGAATGCTCACATGAGAGTGCCTAGTTGGAATCTTGGCTCCTCTGTTTCCCATCCAGCTTCTTGCCAATGTGCCCCGTGGGAAGCAGCAGGTGGATGGTGCAGGTACCAGGTACATGGTTCCCTGCCATGCATGTGGGAGATATGGATTGAGTTGGGGCTTTTGGCCTTTCTCTGGCTCAGTCTTGGCTGTTGTGGGCATGTAGGGGAATAAATCAGTGGATGGAAGATTTCTATGTCTGTCTCTCTTTTTTTTAAGATTTTATTTATTTTTCTTGGAAAGGCAGATATACAGAGAGGAGGAGAGATAGAGAGGAAGATCTTCCATCCGATGATTCACACCCAAGTGAGCGCAACAGCTGGAGCTGAACCAATCCAAAACCAGGAGACAGGAACTTCTTCTGGGTCTCCCACACGGGTGCAGGGTCCCAAGGCTTTGGACCGTTCTTAACTGCTTTCCCAGGCCACAAGCAGGGAACTGGATGGGAAGTAGAGCTGCCGAGATTAGAACTGGCGCCCATATGGGATCCCAGGGTGTTCAAGGTGAGGACTTTAACCGCTACACTATTGCTCCAGGCCCCTATTATGTTTCAAATAAACCAAGTTAATGATTAAAAATTAAACAGATGAAGTCCAGATTTTTTCTCTACATATGAGCAAACCAAGACTGAATGAGCATTCACTTTGTAATTTCTTCCTTAGATTTAATAAAGGCTTATGTATCGCTTCTCGTCCTTTTGGCTAAGATCAAGTGTAGATTTAATATGTAACTTTTTATGTAAACTTTTCTATAAATCTTGAACTATTTGAAACTAAAAGTTTATTTAAACATTTTTCATTTTTTGTAAAAATTTTCAATAACAGACAATTTCAAATTCACACAAAGTTTAGAATTGCAGAGGACACCCAGGTCCCCTGCAGGCAGTTTCAGTCCTCAACAGCACTTTGCTGACCTCGTTTCATCTCACATTGCCCCAATTTTTGTCTTGAAGATTTACTTACTTGTAAAGTGGGGAAAGAATAAAGGGGGGAAAGAGAGAGAATCTTCTAACTGGTTCTCTCTCTTAATGCTCTTAACAGTTAGGACTGTGCCAGATCAGAACCATAAACTCCTTTCAGGTCTGGTAGACACTCAAGTCTTTGAACATCTGCTGCTCCTGAGGTACATTAGCAGGGAGCTGGATCAGAAGCAGAATCGTTGGGATCCAAAACAGCAGGCTCATGGGGGATACTGGCAAGGCAAGCAGCAATTTGCTTAACTTAACACACTAACCTACCAGGCCTGCCCTGACCTCTGTGCCCATAACCTCTGCCACTGGCCAAATTCATTGCAACCACTCATCTCGACTCTGGGTGTCAATTACCCTACCTTCCCTGGCACTCAATGATCTGACCTTCAACTAAACAAGCAAGAAACAAAAAGTCATCAGATGAAGAACTGTCTCTAACATTCTCCCACCAAGTCCTCCAAGCCTCCGTGGCCAGCTGCATCCTGGCCAAATCTTTCCTCCAGCAAGAAGAAGGTCCCTCCTGTTGTCTGAGCCCAGCCCTTCCTCTGCCATCCCTTTGCCTCCGTGTCTTCACTCCTCCAGCCATGCTGCCACCTGCGTATAGGCGTTTCACATGTCCCAGCCCCAAGGCTAAGCACAAATCCCCATAAACCCTCCTCTGGCACCTGCCCTTCCAGCTGCTGCTTTTCTTTACACTTAAACCTTGTCTAAGATCTGTCTGCTTTCGTCTGTGTCACCACCTGCAGCCTCCTTAAAACTATAGCTGCTCCCTGCCTCTGTCTGGCATTTAAAAAAAATGTTGGTTTAATTTCAAAGAGATAGCCAGGAGCCTGGAACTCTATCCAGCTCTCCCACGAGAGTGGAGGGGCCGGATATGTAAGCCACCATTTACTAACTCCCAGAGTGTTCAATAGCCAGAGACTGGAATTGGATGCACAGCTGGCACTGCCAGCACCGTGAGTTCCACGCCAGGCTCCAGCTTCAACTTTCTGCCAATGCAGCTGTAAGACACAGCTTGTGGCAGCTTAGGTATTAGGGTTCTTTGCCCCCAAGTAAAAGACCTGGGCTGAGTTTCCAGCTTGTGGCTCCAGCCCTGGAGCATCCAGCCCCAGGCATTGTGGGCATAAAGGGTGGGGAGCCAGCATGTGGGAACCCCTTTATCTCCTTTTCTGCAGTTCTTTTCCCTTCCTCCATTTGGAATTCTTCTATTGGCTGTCACTTTAAAGATCCACTTCCTTTTCTAGCTCCCGTAAGTAATAAGGCTCCCCTATGTCCTGAGTCCTGAAGGATTTCACTGGAACTGTCACTGCAGAGATCCAAAACTTTGGGGGCTGCTCTGTGTCACACCCCTACGTGGGACTTCTGTACAAAGCAAATCTGCTTTCATTGGTCGTGGTCTTGGCTGTTCCTTCAAGCTTCCCCATGACCACTGGCTCCCAGCCCAGTCTTGCCTTAGAGTGTCTGGGAAGTGAAACTAATTAGGTGGCCTGGAGGGGTAGGTACGACCCTCAAGGCATGCCACTGGGAAGAGTGTGCCATGGGCCCTTCAAGTACACAATGCAAACCATACATGGGGAAATATAAGCTCATTTCAACAAAGAATGAAAACAAAATAAAACAAATAAACAATATTCCTGCTTCTCTCCAACAGCCTCCCTAATCTACAGTCACGGTGACTCAGCAGAATCTGGGCTCCGAGTCAGGAGTCAACATCCTCGCCTTGTGGGGCAGAGGAAGTTCGCTGGGACAGGTCCAGCGGGCGTGATCCTAGACCCTCAGACACTATCCAGAACCTTGCTTGTGTCCCCGGGGGTTTCAGAATCAGAGGCTTCCACCCCTTGCCTCCCCACCCCTGCTGGACACTCTAACTTTCCTGTTCAAGGGTCCCCTCAACTCTGTCCTCCCCTTCCCTAATCCCAGCCGACAGACCTTGGCACCGCCCTCGCTGGCTCCTGGGTATAAACACGTAGGTGCTGGGCCAGTTGTGCTGAGCAGCTTCCGGTGGCGGTCAGCGCGCCTGCTCCGCCAGTTACCTTGCTGAGGCCAGGGTCGCCCTGGCAACCAGCTGCCCAGTCAGTCAGCTCCATCTCTGCAGGGTGCCGTGGGAGCCATGGCGGGTGAGTACCGTGGTCTGGAGTTTACCTCCTCAGCTGAAAACCCAAGTGGAGAGATTAGGGTCCCTAAGAAGCCTTGACCAGAGTTGGGGGAGGGGTAGTTTTAATTCTGTCTTAGGGTGACAAGATCCTTGCTCTCCTGACCTTCAGGAACTCAGGAGAGGGTTTCAGAGAGACTTGGAACTTGGGAGGCCAAAATCTGCCTTCCAGACAGACGGCGAGCTGATCCCCACAGGACAAATCTGGTGCACTGGGCACACCTTGCTCAGCCTCGGACTATTGAAAGTATTTCGGAGGGAGTGGCTGACAGGGGAAATAGGTGGGCACACTTCACAGTGTGGGTTCCTGGCTGCCACCCTGCTGGAGGCAAGCGGGAGGTGGGGAGCCAGGTGGCACTTGGCAACATGATCCTTGGAGAGGCTCCACCATCCCCACTCTGTCTGATGCCCAAATGGCCAGCTTCTAAGGTGTTCTGAAGCTTCTGCAACACCTGCACTTCCCCGGGGAGAGGAGGCGGGAGGGCTGTTACAGAGAGACACCCTGAGAGGGACAGCACTGAGACTGGGAAAGCACCCCCTTGCCTGGAGCAAAGCTCCACAGATTTTTCAATTTCCTGCTTGGGAATCCTAGGTCAGCCTTGGAAAACACAAAGTAGCACACACAGAACCTCCTTTTGCTAAGATTGCACTTGTCAGAATCTGAGCCAAGGACTTGCTTGGAGCACAGGGGTTGCAGGCAGAGCTGCAGGGAGGGACTCTCAGAACTCACTGGACAGGCCTGGTTGCTGCTCCTCTCCCTTCCCCGTTCCCCATTCTCCCCATCCCGATACAATCCAAGCCTCAGCTTGTAGATGGTACTACATTTTACACGTACCAGCTTTTCCTATACCTACATCCCTTCAATAAATAATTGATAAAGCAGACACAGTATAAAATGAACAACAGATACAATAATTCTCACAACACACTGTTTGAAAAGTTATCTAAAGGATTTAAGTTTGTTTGTTACTGGAATTTTCTGTGTGATACTTTCAAACTGAGGTAGACCAAGAAATGTGAGAGGAGGGACCCCCTGCAGCTGCCTTGGTGGGGCACCAGCAGCCACCCCGCCAACATTAGGGTAAGAACCATGCCACACTGTTCTTTGGAGAGAATCTCTTCTATCTGCTGCTTGGCTCTGCAGATGCCCATGATAGCAGGGCCTGTGCAAAGCCAGAGACTGAGCACTTCATCCAGTCTCTTGCAGGACTGGCAGCAGCCCAAGTACCTGGGTCATCCTCTGCTGCCTCACAGACACATCAACAGAAAGCTGGACTTGACAGAACAACCAAACACCCTGGAACGGGATATGTGTGTCCCAAGCAGTGGCTTAACCTACACCACCACAAGGCTCCACACCCATCTTGTTATTCCATGAGCTTTTGGAGGGGGGCTAGTGCGGTAGCCTAGCAGCTAAAGTCTTTGCCATGCACTCGCTAGGATCCCATAAGGGTGCTGGTTCTAATCCCAGCTGCCCCGCTTCCCATCCACCTCTCTGCTCATGGGCTGGAAAAGCAACTGTGAACAGCCCCAAAGCCTTGGGACCCTGCACTTATGTGGGAGACCTGAAAGAAGCTTTGGGCTCCTGGCTTCACGAAGATCAGCTCAGCCAGTGGCAGCCATTGCAGTCACTTGGGGAGTTAATCAACAGAAGATGATCTTTCTGTCTCTCCTCTCTGTATATCTACCTTTTCAATAAAATAATAAATCTTATTTTAAAGAGTTATTTTATTTCTTATTAAAGATTTATGTTATCTTTTATTCCAATAAAATAATACATCTTTTAAAAATACTTATTTTTTTATTGGAAAGGCAAATATATAGAGAGGAGGAGATACAGAAAGAAACATCTTCCATCAGTTAATTCACTCCCCAAGTGGCCGCAGCGGCTTGAAGCCAGGAGCCAGGAGCTTCCTCTGGGTCTCCCACGTGGGTGCAGGGTCCCAAGGCCTTGGGCCATCCTCTCTACTGCATTCCCAGGTCCATGAGCTTTGAGAAGCTCTTTGTGTTTGTGTAAATTAAATACAAAAAGGGGGTGGTCATGAGGGAAGAGGGATGATCAGGTTCTTGTAGAATGAGCTTTTGCTCTACTAGCCAAACAAATCCTGAGGTTACCCGGATGTGGGGCACTTGTTTGTGCATATTGGCACATAGGGATTCAATTCCTAGGTCTGGTTCCCCAATACAACGTCCTGGCAAAGCAGATAGACTGGAAGGCAGCAGGTGAAGGCTACCCATACGGAATACCGGGATTGAGGTCCCGCCCACTGGGTTCCAAGCTGGCCTGAACCCTAGCAGACATCTAGGGAGTGAACCAGCAGAAAGCAACTCTGTCTCTCTGTCTTTCAACAAAGCACAACAACCCCCAAAACCAACAGATTTGAAGTCCTGACCACAATCCCACTGATGGCTAGAGGGCCACCCTGCCGCTTAGGCCTGGTCTCCTTGGTACCTGGTCCCGCTGTCTCCATCTCACTCTTGTCACCTCATCCCGAAATAGTTACCCATGCTTCTCTGGGGGCACATTCTGAGAAGATCTGTGCTGTCCTAGGCAAGGCTGCTGTTTAGGAGGCAGGAAGTGAGGACATTAACCCTCCAGGTCCAGAAAAGTAATTTGTGTCCATGAAGAATGACGGGAAAATGAAGGCTGCAGTTAGGACTTTAGGTCACGAGTCTTCCCAGGTCCTCCTTACCTCCAGCAAACGAACACCACGCCATTGTGTCCACTGCACAGCAGTGTGTTGTTTGCTGCCATTTGTCTCTTGAGTTGTGCTGGGCTTTCCTGGGCTACACTTCATGGCAGATGTCCTATTCCTGCCTGTGTCTCACATTCCCCCCACCCTTCCCCGCCCCAGTCAAGGTCATAAGCATACTTACAGGGCTGTGGTGAGCTCCTTAAGAGCAAGCTGTGGCCTGGAACCTGTGTCTGCTTGTTGTTAGGAGGTACTTATGATGCTGGTAGAAAAAAAAAGTCAACAGCAAAGGTCAAACACAACGGAACACACCTGAGACTTCACAGGCTCCATTCCTCCCTGCCGCATTTCTTCACACAGTCAAGAAAACAGGGAGTATGTTTATGGAAGCAACCGCAGGCAAGGGTCCCTTTCCTTTCCCCCAGGCCAGCCCATGCAAAACAAGTAAATCACTTCTGGGGTACTTCCATCATCAACAAGCACCAACTCCCCTGACCCTGAGACAGACTGAGACGCAGGACCCAGCCTGTGAAAGCCCACACACTTGGCTTCTGGGCCCTGGAGTTCATCCTGAACTTCACCCAGGAGGAGCCTCCTGGGCAAGTCATAAAAGCAGGGAGGGGCCCAGGAAGCTCCCACGTGCTCAGGTGATCACAGTGATCTTGGCTTTCTGGAGCTTTTTAAGCAGGATGGAAAAGTCACAGGTGATCCTTCTCTGAGCACATCCTGCGGTGTTAACCAAGGGAAATAATATGACTCAAGTCATCTCTGCTAATGCACTTGGAAAAGCAGTGGAGGACAGCCCAAGTTCTTGGGCCCCTGCACCCATGTGGGAGACCCAGTCAGAGGTCTAGGCTTCTGGGCTCACCTGAGCGCTGACACCATGCTCTACAACTTCTGGATTTGGGAACATGTTGGTTTTCAGCATTTTGGATTGGGCATCATCAGGTGGTACTAAAGATTCCAAAGTCCTTTTCTCCATTCAAAAATATCTCTAATCTGAAAGGCTTCTGGTTCCAAGCATTTTGGCTGGGTAAAAGTCTCGGTGCATGTGCCTTGTGTGTCCACAGTCAGGAAAGCCCTGATCATCTTGGCCCACTCGGAGAGGACATCCTTCAACTATGCCATGAAGGAGGCAGCCGTGGAGGTCTTGAAGCGGAAGGGATGGGAGGTGGCTGAGTCGGACCTTTACGCCATGAACTTCAATCCTATCATTTCCAGGAAGGACATTACAGGTGCGACCGTCTCTTGCGTGACTTCTGTATGGCTCTCCTTGCCTGTGGGTTCATGGCCCACTCTTGTTCCTCTGTGCTCCAGCCTCTGTCTCCCCTCTGCAGGAAAGCTGAAGGACCCTGAGAACTTTCAGTACACTACCGAGTCTGTTCTGGCCTATAAGGAAGGACGGCTGAGCCCGGACATAGTGGCTGAGCAGAAGAAGGTGGAAGCTGCAGACCTGGTGATATTTCAGGTATGGATGTCAGGGATGACTGAGTTTTTGTTGTCCTCCGCCTGTCACCTGATTAGCTGTGGGATCCTAGAAAAGTCACTGCCCCATCCCACCCCATCATGTTCTCCACAAGTAAGGACAATTCCATTAGAGGTGTAGGGAGCCCCAGACTTATAGGCACTGTAGACATGGCTGTGTGACTCTTTGCAGGTCTCAGTGTACCTGCCAAATTGCCAAGAAGCCTTGAGCTCTTTTTCCCCAGGAGTTCCTGCTGTACACTTGGTGTCTGCACATCTCTCCTGCAGAGTTCGTGGAGTGATGTGGGGGACACGGACTTCCCTGTGGATGGGGCTCTGGCCTGTGGTATAGCCATTGCAGCAGCAGCTTTGTCCTCGTATCAGAATCGCCACATCTTAAGATGGGAAAGGACCTTAATGTTCTTCCCATGTGGCTTCTGTCTGAGGTCTACACTGTCTTCCGTGTCAGTGCACGTGTGTGGGTTGTACACTGGAAACCCATACCACACATTCAGGGCAGTGGAGGCACTGAGGACTGCGTGTTCTAACAGCTTCTTGGCAGGTGAGTTAGAGGCTTGTTCTTGCAAAATCATTGTAATATACTGATCTTTGCACATGGCGATGAAATATCCTGAGGAAGGAGTGTGTCCACAAGGAGCCACGTGGGTTAGTGCCTTGCTGCATTTTCTCACTTTCCCAAGAATGACTGAAGGAGAGTAAATGATGAATATGCTGCCCCCCCCCAAAGTCTACCAGCTGTACTTTCAGCTCTGACTGTGGAATAATCACAGGGGATTAAGTCTCACTGATTGTACAGGCGGCACACTTGCCCTGCCTGTGCAAATAGGGCCTCTCACAGCTGGAGAGCCACAGTCAGGGGAGTGTGAGAAGCTGGCAGGATCCTCTGACATAGAGATAAGGTAAGTGAGACCCCAAAAAGCTAGGAGGACGGTGTGGCAAAGACCAGCAGCCATCAAGGCAGTGGCAGACTTGGGGTGAGAAGGAGCATCGTACTCCAGTCTGTGTCTCTTCTCTATCCAGCTGTTGTGGAGAGAGCTGTTAGGTCCCGCAGAGGCTTTCTTTGTCTTGGTCCCAACTGTCGTGTCTAAAAATCAGCAGGAGGACCGACGTGAGCTTTCTCCTGCTTTCACGAGGACAAGCGATCAAACAAGACTTCCTTCTGGGAGATAAAGCCTAGTCCCACAAAGCCGTCTCCCATGCGGGTGCAGTGTCTCAAGGCTTTGAGCCATCCTTTCCTGCTTTCCCAGGCCACACAAGCAGGGAACTGGATGGGAAGTAGAACTGCCAAGATTAGAATTGGCACCTATATGGGATCCTGGCAGTGCGTTCAAAGTGAGGACTTTAACCGCTAGGCCATTGCACAGGGCCCCAGCCTATATTTGTATTTGGACACAGGAGTGCCACACTGGCTGGACAATCCTTTCCTCTCCAGCAAGTCAGTTCCTCCTACAGGGCTGTCAAAGGGCCAGAAAAAAAGATCACCCCCATTGTGACATCCAGGGCAGCAGGCCAGGACACTGCTTGTCTTTCTGTGGAGTGCTCCCCCGCCTCCTGACTCCTCTGCTGTCTTCTGTCCCACAGTTCCCATTGCAATGGTTTGGCATCCCTGCCATTCTGAAAGGCTGGTTTGAGCGTGTGCTCATTGGGGAGTTTGCCTACTCATATGCTGCCATGTATGACAAGGGACCCTTCCAGGTAGGTGGACGTTTCTAGATTCTGTACTAAGATGGGTCTGTGGGTCCACTGAGAGAGGGATGTGAGCTAGTTTTTATAGACAACAGGACTGGAATTTGTTCTGAAATATTCCAAGGAGCACTAGCATGGAGCTGGATTGGAACCAGAGGAGTGCGAACTCAATCTGTAATTCAGGCAGGGGATGCCACTGGCGGCTTAATGTGCTGCACCACAATGCCAGCCCCCTTCTTACACAGGCCTCATCCAACCCCATGTCCAGCGGCAGGGAAGATAGAAACCAATGATACACAGCGAACTCCAGCTTGGCAGCTGGCACTCAACACTGCTGTTGATGACTGTGACTGGCTATGGGTAGCGATGAGGCCTAGGCCTGTCCATAGTTCCTGTCTGTGGACCAACTGGTCAGCTGCTTGTGCCAAGTCTTCCTCTGTAGCCTGGGGGAGCTCAGGTCAAGTAAGAGGAACAGCAAACACAGAAGACTCCCATGTTCCCCTCCCTGGGGCTGCTCCATTGGCGCCCTGTCACCCAGGAGATGCAAGGGTCACCAAGCTGGTGTTCTCTTTGCAGAACAAGAAGACCCTGCTCTCCATCACCACAGGTGGCAGTGGCTCCATGTACTCTCCCCAGGGTGTCCACGGCGACATGAATATCCTTCTCTGGCCAATTCAGGTATGTCACTTCCCAGTGCATTTTCAGAGGAGTTCATGAATTGAGCATTTTGTGGGATTCCTAATTTTCAGGTGACAGATAAACAGCAAACTGAGGGCGCTGATGAAAGCCATCGTGATGTAGAGCAACAGGGAGCTGTCTTCTTCCAACCTGTCTGTCTTCCCAGGCCCCTGTGGTTACAGAATGCACACAGGGGTGAACGTGTGCGAATGCCTTTCTCCCCCAGTTACTAACACAGGTGACTCTGTAGCCTCAGGCCCTGCTTCCCTCCAGATGGTGGCCTGGTATCTTCCTCCAGCCTCCTGTCTTCTCCAGGTGGCCAAGATGGTTACACAGATACTCTCAGAATTCGAGACAATGACAGAAATGATGATGCGTTCAGGCATTTGCAGATGCACAAAACCCGAGTGTGAGGTGGGCTTTTTGGTAGGCCCCGAGCCTTCAGGATGATCCCCTGGAAAGCAGGAAGGGGCTGGAGAAAGGAGCAGAGGAGGCCAGAGAGAAGCATCATTTATGAAGACTGTGGCTGGAGAGTGGAGAGGCAGCGAAATGCACATCTGTGAGCCTTGGCACGCATCCTTCCCTCCCTGATGGAATACAACTTCTGGCGCCTTTGGCAGAGAATCCAAGTTGGCACAGTTTCAAGGCGTTCTTCAGTTTCAGAAGAGCCCTGCTGAATAGTCTAAAATAGGCAACAGCCAGGTAGAGGGCAGAAGGTGACACAGAAGGCGAGAGAATACAGCTGTGACCCGACCCCCCCTGGGAGCCCAGGCCTCCCTCCTGGAGTCTTGTTGGGAAATCCAGCTCTGTAACTTCTGTTCTTAGCAGTCCCAATGACATAGGGTTGGTTCCGCAACTTACCTCTGCACTTTGTTTCTCCCCAGAGTGGCATGTTGCATTTCTGTGGATTTCAAGTCTTAGAACCTCAACTGACATACGGCATTGGGCACACTCCAGAGGATGCCCGAATTCAGATCCTAGAAGGATGGAAGAAACGCTTGGAGAGCATTTGGGATGAGACACCACTCTATTTTCCTCCAAGCAGCCTTTTTGACCTAAATTTCCAGGCAGGGTTCTTAATGAAAAAAGAAGTGCAGGATGAGCAGAAAAACAAGACGGTTGGCCTTTCTGTGGGCCATCACTTGGGCAAGCCCATCCCGACTGACAACCAGATCAAAGCGAGAAAGTAAGATTCACAAGACTTGATTTCTCCTTAACATATAAAATCAAGGGCTACTCTTTCAGGCTTTAGCAATTGAAGATTTGGAGTTTTTCTATTCCATATTAATGAGTAGGAGAGATACTCTATATATTTTGCAGTTTCATTACTAAATGAAATCATTACAATTATTATCATGACATATACACAAAATCTGATTAGGCTCAAGAGGCTATTTATATTAGGTATACAAGGATACTAGAAAATATTCTTCAAGGTTATCTATACAGTTGGCTTTAAAAAAAATTTATCAAAATTTATTTGAGAGGTGGTATAGGAAATGTACCTGCTGATTCAATTTCTACATGCCTCACCAGCCAGGACTGGGCCAGGCTGACACCTGAAGCTGGGAACTCAACCCAGGTCTCTCAAGGTGGTGGAGATCCAAGAAGCTGAGTAATTACCACTTGCTACCTCCTGGCATATGTACTGGTAGGAAGCTATAGTCAAGTCAGGGGCTAGGCAACTGAACCAGGTACTCCAACACAAAATGCTTTGGAGTCCTCCTTTTTAGGGCTAAGTTTTTAGGTCTAACTTTGACTAGGCAGCATCGAATTCTCCAAATGATCTGTTTTAATTACCTCTCTGGGGTTTATGGCAGAAGGGAATTGGTCAAAGAAATGAATCCGTCAGACCTAAGGGACTTGTTTAGTTGTTAGTATATCTAATGTTTTGTTTCTGATATATATTTGTTTCAATTACTACAGTGAATCTTACTAATAAACCTAATATATTTTATTTTTCCTTTTCCTTTTTTTCTTTTTTCTTTTTTTTTTTTTTTGTATATGCACACACAAATACCCTGAAACTAACATTTGGCAAAAGTCTCTTCACCTTATCTTGATTTTAAAATATTTAGTTTATGGATTTGAAGGCACACACACACACTGAGAGAAATTGTCCATCTTGTATTATATCACTCACCAAATGTCTGCAACAGTCAGCGGCAGGCCAAGCTGAAGCCAAGAGTTGGGAACTCAACCTGGGCCTCCCATGTGGGTTACAGGAACACAAAGAACTAGCCCTGTCTTCTGTGCCTTCTAGATCAGAGGCATGGAGTAGCTGGGACTTTAATCAGGCACTCCAAAACAGTGCAGCCATCACAAGTGACAACTGAAACTGCTTCACCACAACAGCCACACTGTCTTCCAATGTTTGCAGAAAGAAGCCAACACATATACACCCTCTATGTGCTACATGAAATAAGCTCAGGATAAAAAATGGTACCTTCAATAGGTAAAATGGTCTTCCCCCATCAGTAACCTTATTTCTGGTCTATATTTCTGAAAGGTTATTTTCTGCATTGTTGCTGAACTGAGGACTTAAGGTTGTGCTTTGGTCCCAGAATTTTGGGATGAAATTGTAAACCCAGGGCCCTGCATGGTAGCCTAGTGGCTAAAGTCTTTGCTTTGCACACACTGGGATCTCATATGACTGTCGGTTCTAATCCCAGAGGCCTTACTTCCCATCCAGCTCTTTGCTTGTGACCTGGGAAATCAGTTGAGGACAGCCCAAAGTCTTGGGACCCTGCACTTGTGTGGGAGACCTGGAAGAGGATCCTGGCTCCTGACCAGCTCAGCTCCACCTCTTGCGACCACTTGGGGAGTAAATCATTGGACGAAGATCTTCCTGTCTTACCTCCTTTCTATATTTATATCTCTAAAAAACGTTTTTTTAAAAAAAGAAATTGTAAACCCAGAGTTTTATTAACTTTGGTGAACAATTATGGCATTTATATTCTTGTTAGTGCCGCTTTTCCTACTCTTGGGCTAATAATCCAAATAGAACATGACAAGACTGCCCTCTTGTGGATCATTGCAAGAAAACAAGAGAAATTTTGAGCAGGGCTGGCTCACACTTTCTTCCTCTGGGCATTACCCACCGCAGGAGATGGCTGGGTGTTTCAATCTGAAAGTGCCCTGGTTGCCTTTGCCATCATGGCAACTTTGCAAACATTTCTGAAAGCTTCAAATGAAATAAGTAAAATCAGCAGCATTCAGGCAAAAAACAGAATCTACTGGGAGATGGCTTCAGAGAAGCCAGTTATAGATTAGGGCTTCATGCCTTGAGAACTTGCTCAACACAGCTGCTTTGTACTGAATTCAGATGCTCCCAGGAATTTAACAAAGGACCAGGAAAGTGGAGGGCATTTGGTGCAATGGTTAGGATGCCACATCCCATACTGAAGTGCCTTGGTTTGAGTCCTGCTGCACTCAGAACTCCAGCTTCCTAATATTGTAGACCAAGGGAGGCAGCAGTGATGGCTCAAGTAACTAAGTGTCTGCCACTCAAAGTAGAAACCAAGATTGAGTCCTTGGCTCCTGGGTTTTTGGCCTGGGCATTTGTGGAGTGACCTAGATGACAGGAGACCACTCTTTGTCTTTCACATGAACAAAGAGCTCCAGGAAACAGATTAGTGTAGAAATTAAGAAAAATACAAACCAGGGCCCGGCACCATAGCCTAGCACCTGAAGTCATCACCTTGCATGCACCAGGATCCCGTATGTGTGCTGGCTCTAATCCTGGCAGCCCTGCTTCCCTTGCAGCTTGCTGCTTGTGACCTGAGAAAGCAGTTGAGGATGGTTCAAACTTTCGGGACACTGCACCCACGTGGGAGACCCAGAAGAGGCTCCGGACTCCTGGTTTTGGATTGTCCTAGCTCCAGCTTTTGCAGTCACATGGGCAGTGAATCAGCGGATGGAAGATTTTCCTCTCTGTCTCTCCTCCTCTCTATCTGCCTTTCCAATAAAAATAAATCTTTTTTAAAAAAGTGCCTGACATCAAGGCATTTACATTGTTAGGGGAAATGGTGGTAAATGTGATATGGATAATGTAGCAAGCTGAGCTGGAGGTCACAAACCACAAGGTCCTACTTGTACCTGTCAGAATACCCTTTCGCAGGATGCCTTATTTTTGTTCAGGACCTGGGGAAGGGTCATCATACAAATTCATTGGTGAAGCACCATGGGAAGTTTTATGGTAGTGTCGCACATCTCCCATGTGATCACATCACTTCACCAAAGGAGATACTGAGACGCAAGGACTAGATGGTGATGAGGTTGTCCCCATGTCTCTCTTCCCTTCCCTCACTCACTTCTCTCACTGCTTCACTCTTATGTTGCTGTGTTTGCTTTCCAACTTCCTAAATAAACTTTATAATTTTCTGTACTGTATATGTGCCTGTACTTGAAAAAAAAATGTCTAAGACTTACTTTTATTTGAAAAGCAGATTTAAAGAGAAAGGAGAGACAGATCTTCCATCCATTGGCACACTCCCCAAATGGGCACACAGGCCAGAGCTAGGCCTGTCTGAAGCCAGGAGTCAGAAGTCAGGTTGTGCCCAGCCTTGGTTCTTATGCTCACCTGCAGGGACTGCATCCTGACAGAGAAGTTCTCCAAGCTCCTCTATCGGGTCACCTCCCAGTTGCACATCTCATACACATCAGTGGGAACCTTGCCCAATCAGCCCACATCCATTCCAGCTCTTAATGTTGGGTGCTACAACCCAGCCATGCCTGGTCAACCCCCAGATCCAGGACTTGTGTGGTTCAGTGGGTGCCGAGACCTAGCCCAGCCCATCCTATACCCACTCTGGCTCTCACGTGGTCCAGCGAGTGCTGGAGCCTATCCCAGTCTGGCACACCCCAAACCTAGTTCACACCCATGTCAAAATATACTGCAGTCATGTTCCAGCCCAGTTTGCCACCCCCACTCCAGTTCTCATGCTCATTAGTGGGAACCACAATCTAGCTGGGGCATCCTCTTACCTCTCCAACCAGGCTTGCTCCCTGCCACAGATCTTACATATGCTGGTGGTTGCTCTGAACCAGCCTGACATAGCCCACCCCCTGCCTTAGCCTTAACTATCATATGCTACAGCCTGGCCTGACCCAGTCCAACTCTAGTTTCAACTCTCTCCTTGGTGGATGTTGCAGTCTAGCCCTGCCCAATTTACCCCCATCCCTGGCTTTCACGCAAACTGCTAGTGTAACAGCCTACGCTAGCATAGTCTGCACTGTATCCTGGCTCCTGCACACGCTAAGTGTGCCAAAGTTTGGCCTGTCCCTGCCCGCCCTCTAACTCCCCCTCACCCCACACCAGCCCACAGACTTGCTGAAGTCTTTCCTGGCCTGACCAACACTTAGGTCTGACTCATGCTCACTAGTGCAAACTACAATCCACGAGGGATGTTCCCAAAGTTCCCCCACCAGGCTCACTCCCAACTCAGATCTCATACGTGCCAGTGTATGCTAGGCCCTTACCCAACATAGTCTAGCCCGTGTCTAGGCCTTTGTGTGTACTGGTGGATGTTGTGGTTTGGCCTGCCTAACACCCTATTCTTGGGTGTATCTAAGGGTGCTGCAGCCTGCACTATTCCAACCCAGTACCCATGAACGTTGTTGTGTTCCATGGTCATGCCTACTCAGCCAGTTACTCCCTCACCTCTTGAGCAAACCAGCTGGTATGGCAGTCCCCTGGGACCCTGCACCAGTGTGGGAGACTCAGAAGAGGCTCTGGGCTCCTGGCTTTGAGACTGGCTGAGCTCCGGCCTTTGTGGCCATCTGGAGAGTGAGCCAGCAGATGGAAGATCTTCCTCTCTGTCTCTCCTCTCTATATATCTGACTTTCCAATAAAAATAAAATAAAATCTTAAAAAACTAAATTACTAAAAAAGTTTTATTTTTTATATTTCTTAACTCTTCCCTAAAGATTTTATAATTTCAGCCTATGTTTCTTGAAAATGACAAGCATACAGATACATTCTTTCACAGGGTTTCAGAAAAAAGACAATTATCCACTGCGAAATGAAAACTTTCAATGTTTTATTTTGACTGCAGCTGTTTACAGAAATATAGTTGCGAGTATACAAATGTTCCAATAGAAGCAAAATATCTTTTTAATATTTAACAAGTTATCACAGATAGCTAAAAACATAGATGCAAATGAAATTCCCCCAAAGAACAAACTGAAAATATCTGGTATCAGTGCTCCAAAATCCGAACTATGAAAGCCATATACACACAAACGTAACCCTTACATCATCGCAGGACAATGGAAGAAGGCAGTTCAGTGGCTGATCAATGTGCTCAAGCAAATAAAATTAAACAAAAATTTTAAATGGCAGAATGGTAGATAAACCACTTGAAAACAGCTTAACGAAGTATCTGTAGTATACTTACTAGAAGACGAAGCAAAAGAAGTGAAGCAACTGTCAAAGCAGCAACTACCTGGAGCTTCTAGAAAGCACGCAAACAAGGGGACACACACATTTATTAGATCAACATAAGTGAGCTCAAGTTCACTGGAATCAGCTTATAACAACCAAGGTCATAGTCACTTCAGGCAGGATAGTTCTTTAATGGATAAAGAAACCTGATTCCAAAGTCATTCTCAAACATCTCACATCGTGTGTATGTGTATGTTATCCTGAGGTTTATTAGCTAAAATAGTAATAAGCAATGCTGTAAGATATTTAAATGACTTCTGGAGAGAGAGAGACAGAGAGGGGATGGATATGAGGGCATATGCCAACACGTGAGTGCACAGACAGGGCTGATCTGATTACAACATGGAATTTTAAAAGGAGGTATTGTAAGTTGGAGTTGAACAGAATTGTGGTAGAATGCTTTTAGAATAGGAATATATTAGTTATACAGTGAAGTGAGGGAAAGGAATTCAGAAGGCGGAGGAATGTCATCAGAGTATTTGCCAACAGCTTGCCTGTGTATTTGCCAGCACCAAAGTTTGTGGAGTCTGTAGAGCAAGCCACATACATTTTCACTGCCAGCATGAAGAGACAGAAGAGGTGATTTTAATAAAGTGACTAGACATTTGTTTTTCTACTGAAAGTTGACTTTTTTTTCCTGAAAGTTAACTATTGATGTATAAATTATGGGAGGAAGATAAGAATAGTTATGGAGGAACCAATTTACACAAGGAAGTAAAAACAAATGTGTGAGTCCACTTATTTTATGGCTATGTAGTTACTGTGAAAAATTCCCCAATCATACATTACCTTACTTGATATTTATTTAGTAACTAACTCGGGTCTGAAGCATAAGCTCCAAGGACAGTTACATCCCTACTGCCACAGTTCTTATTTATGCAAGCTACTTTTACAGAAGTTCTGCCTATTGGAAAAAAGAATAAGGTGCAATGTCAACCTGGCTAGCCATCTTGTTGCCTCTCAGATGCACAAGCAAATACAAGGAAGGATAGTTTTGTTCAGAGGCTTGAATCAGCCAGAGAAAATCTGTGGTTGGCTGGTGATATTAAAGGGCAATGCCAAGAAAGCTTAAATTACACTGTTTACAACATACCTATTTTAGAGATAACAGGGAACTTTAGCACCCATCAATTACATTAGCTAATTAAGTATTAAAATAATTAAAAGCAACATAGAACATTGTACATACATTATTTAAATCAGTTATCTAATGTGAATTTTTTCATTAAATGTCAAAGTAATTTAACTGAGTTAGCAATAACTAGATTAACTACACGTGTACTGAAACTACTGACAATAAACTACTATTGTCAATAAGTGATTATGGATAACCAGGTTAAGCTGAAATGATATAGTCCCACTGTGTGACTTTACACTATTGCATCAATATCACCTGGACAGCTTATTAAAACATGGACGGCTGGGCTTCACCCGAGTTCCTGCTTCAGTCTGTCTGGGACAGGGCCCAAGACTTTTTTTCTTCCTGGTTCCCAGACAACACTAATGATGGCTGGTGGACTGAGAACCGTATTTTCAAAACACTGGTTCACACAAACCTACACACTAAAAATTACATAATGTATTCTTATATAGATGATGCAAAATAGATAAGAAGAAGGCTGGTTTTAATTAACTCTTGAACATACAGATCAGTACACCATTTCAATCTCCCTAAGATGATTTGTCAAAATGTAATTATTTCCCCTTAGTCAATCATTACTGCATTTCAATGGGTTAAAATGGACTAGTCACTTTAGAAAATATACATAACACTCATGCCAAATCAGCTATCTAAAGTAAAAAGAGACATTATTCCAAATAGCTAATTAAAATGTATTCATTAAAAAGGAATTATCACTCTATAGCATTCTCGGTTTCTTTGGAATGATTAAAGTGCATAATATCAAGAGGATATTAATAATGTTTATATAGGTTTGTAGTCTTCAGTCTAACAATCACAGAAATATCTGCACAAGTAAAACTGCTCTCTCCCCGAGAAACTACAATCCTGACCTTGCTTCTAGCAAGCTGTGGAAGAAGCAAAACAAACAGAAAACAAAAGGCTACTCAATTCTCATGGTACCTGGTCAAACATAACTATCATCTCAAGTTTGGAGGGTCTCAGAACTTCATTTCCTATAACACTATTTAAGTTAACTGGCAAGCACACTGCACTGCTATGAACTACTTCATCCCTTCTGATTAGAAAATCTGATGCTACTAGGACTCACCCAAACTATGTTTTAATTAGTGATTTCTTTTCATCCAATCAATTTTAATTTAGACTAAAAAGGTCATTTCAATACCTTCTCTATGAAATTTAACCATACGCATTTGTGTCCAAGGAATCTCACAGACAATAAAATATTCCTTAGTATCTAGATTAGACCTACTATTAGTTCACTGAGATGAAGATACACTTACAGAAAGCTAAATGATTTGATTCTGGCATCTTTTACTTACCCTTTTCCAAAGGAAATTCTAGCAGTGCTTCTTTTATTCTTAAGTCAAAGGAATTTCTGAAGTATTCTATGGCGACCAAGAAATGGAAAAAAAGAAGGGCTAAATGGAAAAGGTGATGGTTGAGATCTGCTAAAATGTTTGTATGTTTTGGTTATAGTAAAAATAAAATTACCAAAAAGGGGGTACTATCATGGCAAAAAGGCACTTTCCCATAAGCAATCTATCAAACATTAATGTAAAAAATTTCCTGAAAAACAAACGGAGTAAAAACAGGATCTGTATAAGTGAGACTAGAATGGCATACAGTTAAATAGGGATTCAAGAAATCATCAGAGCACTATGGCAATTCACAAACATCATAGATATGATGCTGATGTTCACTCCATTAGGAAGATAATCTCTACACAAACAGGCACAAGATCCTGCTCGTCCACTCTCTAGTGTCTATGGGCTTGCTTGCGTTATGTCAATTAAAAAGTCAACTAAGGGAGAGTCATCAGAACAGAAATTTTTATTGGAAAAAAAAAAAAAACCAAAAAAAAAAAACCCCTCTCAGATTACTCCTAGAAAATATTTATAACCACACTGAATTTGAAACTTTAATTATCAAGTCATTTTATTCTCATCCTATCTGATGATGCATTTAACATTCTACTTTTTCAAAATGCATTCTTAAAATAATGGTTTAAAAGATCAAAAGGGATTTTACTGAGAGGGACACAGATATAGCTTCTTCCCATTATCTTCAACATGTTTTCTCTAGGTAGATTTTCAGGTTCTGATGAGCAGAGAATACTACAATGATTCTAAACTACAATTCTAAACTACACCACCCTCCTCTCTGCCTCAAAGTAAAAATAAAATAAAATAAAATGCATGGAGATAGGAGGATAGAAGAATGCATGGAAAAAAGGAAGGAATAAAGGGAGGGAGGAAGGTAAGGAAAACCCCTTAATAATATTGTTTCTGTAACAAAGCCCTTTAAAAACCTGTGCTAGGGAGAATGTGTAAAACAGATTCTTATTAGTTGAATAACATAAGACTCTGACCACAAAGTAAAGCACAGAAGCACAATACGACCTCTAATTATTTTCTTCCTACGTAGGTATGGTTGAATAATGGAATGACAAAAGGAGTAACATACAAACATACACACACACAAGCTCCAAGGATTTATGTAAGTTGCTGAGAGCAAAAACTGAATGTAATATAAGGATAAATAAAATGTGGTTCACAATTTATTTAGGTCTTTCTGCCATGAGTAAATTTAATGTTGTTGGCTGCAAGGCCTTGGCTGAAGCAGGCTTTCCCATAGGCAGCTATAACTTGTAACAGTAACTGGGAAGTTGCATCAGCACAAGTATCAACCACTGAGCTGACTCTTCAATAAGACAAATACTCTTTGTAACCAAATCATATACTCAGACTGTTGTACTTAACATTGACCTTCAGGGATAAGGATCACTTAACAATGTAAAAAAAAATTATTTGAATAAAAATATGGTATAGCCTAGCACAGCCCTTGTATAAATAACCACAAAATTTATGAAAATAAAAAGTGGGTTTTCTGCCTTCATCCAATTGAATCACTATAGTTCAGGTATGATCTGTTCTATACTTAAGATATTATAAAACAGAAAATTGGTCCCAGTGACTTGGCATTGTCAATCTTCATTTTATAAAGATAAATCTCTTGTTAAACTACAGAACACAAGACAGCACACAAGCCAGTCTTCTCGCCATCACTTTCATCCATAGTGTGATAGCAACACATTCTAGTTAGAACTTGGTGAACAAACTTCTTGGCTCTCGTATGTCATCTCAGAGGAAAAAAATCAGAAATAAACATATAATTTTAATTTTTACCATTAAAAATATCTGCTGGGCTTGCTTTCTCTGGTATTACAGAAACCCCCCTAGAGTTAGCATTTTACATTTTAAAACTGAAGTCCTGGATTGTGTGGCTGATCTTTTTCATAACCTGAACTATAATGGGTAAGTTTCCTCCAACAGGGGTCAGGGGAGAAAAGATATACTGAGGAAAATACTTTTGGGTCAGAGAATTTATAAAGTAGCTCTGAATATTACAAGATGAGGAAATGTTATTAAAATTACAAACTTTTTAGTGTCCTTATAAATAAAAGGCATAGAATACAGAAAGCCAATTAATAATAACAATAACAATAATAACATATTAAATATATAGTGAGCAAAGACTGAATGGCTCATTCTTATGAAACACCACTTGACACAACTGTCTTGATAGGTTTCCTTATGCCCTGGTTTTGCTGAGTGCAAGGCACAGCAAACACAGCAAGCTGCCTTTAGCCCACTAATGACATCAAAGAACTGCCTGATGGAATGGCCACAGATGAACAGGTCATTTTTTTCAAAAGTTACTTAAATACTCAAAAGACATAACAAACCCCACCCCCCCTCACTGTTATCAGACGTTGTGGTAGAACATCAGACAAACTCACAAATTTACCACAAAAATGTGTGGCAAAAAAAGAATAGTTTATATATATGTATATATATAAATTTCTATATTTATGCCAATGTACTCACTCAGTACAAATAGCAAAATAGTATACCATTTCCTAAATACAAAATATAGCTTTCCAAAAAAATGAAACACACATTAGATATAAACCATCCAAAACTTGAACGATTGAAAACTGTATTCAAAATTAAATGACCCAGAGTAGGTCTCTTTCTGATAAGTTCCCTTCATATCGGCAAGAAGCCTGTACTACTGAAAACGTAATTCAATGCCTCTCAATCAGAGAGAGAAAGAAAGAAAGGGTTTGGGTGAAGGGAAGAATATATAAGAAGAGAAAAAACAAAACAAAACAAAAATTAGAAGACAAGCACTTTCAAAGAACAAAGGAAGACCACATAAAAGGAGAAAAATCTGGCTATATATAAACAAAACCAACACCACATAATTCAACACAGTTCAACTAAGTGTAAAGAGGAGGAATAACAAACTAAACAGAAAAGTAGCCTTCATTCACAATTAACAGGCTATTTTTAATACACTAAAAAAGAAAGACACACACAAGGATACTAAAACATTACATCAACACATAGAAGCCACACATACACGTTGGCCTTACACTGCACTGACAGCTTTCCACATGCCAAAAGGAAAAGAGAACATAAGCACAGGTCCAAACACAGGTGGTTGTGACAAGCAGGCATCCCACCAGTGGAAAGAACACCCAAAACTGTGTAAGTAACGCTACAACTGCAAGTTCTGGAGTGTGTTAGTTTGCTCTTCACAGATGTAACAAGAGTGAAATTTTCATTTGAATCCAATGATATGACCCTGTAAAGCCTAAGGTTTGTGGGAACCATCAGGTGTGGGACCACTTCAAACTGTAAAGCACTGAGGTGACAGAGGAATTGCACTCACTGCAGCTTAGGGAGAAGAGATGCTTCACCAAGTTTTAGTTTGCCTTTTCTTTTTAAAATGGAAACTAATATTATTTTTCATCACAGGGAAAATTTTGAAGACTTTAGAACAGCACCGTTCATGGGAAAATTATGCATTGTTTCTCAGGAATCAACTGCCAATAATTCCTAGTAAGTACTTCTTGTCCTGTGCTGCAGGACTGCAAGGTCACCCTCAATCTAAGTGGCCTTTTCCCTTAAGTTGCTACAGGGTCACAAAGCCAGCAGTATATTAGTTCTTGCCTAAAGTAAGTGAAAACAAGGTGGGAAATAATTTAGATGCATATAAAAAGGGAATATCAGACTTAGGGTGGGGAAAAAAACAAACTCAAATTACTCTGTCAGTTTAAACTACTGTAGAAGGATGCAGCAACATAATTTACCATATATTATCCCCTTCATTTCTATAGAGTAAGATAATTATTTCTTTATGCACAGTTATGGCTACACCCCATAGTAATAATAACACAGAGACCTAACAACTCTCTGAAATATACAATCAGTAGCATGCCAGCTGTTTCCAGTTTTGTCAGTGTCATTGGCCTTTGTGTGACAGAGTCCTCTTATCGGTGTCCAGTTTTCAGTACAGCTCACTCCTCTGAATGTTACCCCTTCAGTTTATTCCTGAAAAAGATTTCCTTCAATTTGGCCACTAGCTGTGCTTTCTACACTGAAAAACATCACAGCCTTAGCTACTACTGAAGCTTACTTTTTCAAAAGTCATTACTTGATTAAAATAATGCAGGAAAGAAAATAACCAGGAACAGAAGTAAACATGACAAATACTATTTCCTAATAGCAATAATAACTGAGTGGTTAGTCCAGCCTTGAACTTAAACTGTACTTTTAAAGAAACTGCGCCAAGGAAAATAATAATTTAGTCAGCTGGCAACTCAAATAGATTCTCAGTCATCACTGTGATTAGGAATACAAAATACAAGATGTTAACGTTGGTGGCTAGTCACTGCAACAGGCAGCACAGGTGTGCTCTTTTGCAGCCAGAGTAAGATCTATCCATTTACTCAAATATAGTTCTGCTTATTTTGTTTTTAAAATAAGTTCAATGATCCTCGTGGAACCACAAGCTCTCATGACATCTTGGAATCAGGATTTTCTTCATGAAATTTCTAAAAAAAAGAAAAAGTTTACTATAACTTACTAGGGAGGGAAAGCATTTATAAAATGCCTGTCACCTTAAATGCATCCAAAGTATATTACAGTACTATAAATGCTCTAATTTTTACTCTTTATCATAAGCAGACTTTTCTGACTCAAAATTACTTTTTTAAGAAGGGGGAAAGAAGGCATAATCATCTCTTATATACACTTCAAATAAAACATTTTGCACATCCATCAGATTTTTGTCATTCCAAGGTTTGTTATTTATAGAGTCAGCAGGAATGTCTAACAGTAAGAATAAAACTATAATAACATCATTCAGAGTAAATTATTCCAAGTAACTTAAGCATTGACTTGAGAGCAAGTAATTATTTTAAAGCAACAGTTTAAGCAGTGTTATTTCTTAACTCCAATCTGTTCATGAAAAAAATTTTTGATGCTTTTCAAGAAAAAGCCACAATGTAATACTTACATATCCAGTTAAAATGAGCCAGTCAAGTTGTTCCCTTGGTTTTGCAATGAAACAAGCAAATCAATCTTTTCCATGTTCTGGTTGGTGTTTAGAGAGGATGCCAGGGGAGAATTCTCTGGCATTTGCTGAGAAAGAATTGTTGTCACAGGTGACTGGCTCTCATTTTGTGGTTGGCCTGGTTGACTTATGGCCATCAACTGATCTGGCAATGTAGCTGGTCCAGAGGTTAAAAGCTGACTACAGTCTGCAGAGACATTGAAAACAGAAGCTACCTGATTAGTTAAAATTCATGAGAAGATCATTTATTAATTGCTGGGGGAAACTCATTAATGTGTTTCCGCAGTTTATTACTGAAAGTGAGGTACCTAATGGTCCAAGGGAAAAGTTTATAAAATATAGACACTGAAATTCATTTTAGGTTTCCCTCTGAGTGGTATAATTATACAATTTGCTTTTTTATTATCAAATCCTATATAATTTTCTTATTGCGAAAACATTAAAAGTGGCTGTCTACCTCCTTAAGAGCTACTTAATTTTAAATTAGTTGAAATATTATCCATATTGTTGCTACATTTTTCTTCAAATTTACTGCTTCAACTGGCAAACAAATGGATCTATATATATTAGTGCATCTAACCCTTCCAATGTTTGTCAAGTGTGCAAAATTATCAACATTTCAAATGTGGAAACCCAGTCCCATAAATGTCAAATAACGTGTCCAATATCTCATACTATGTAAGCAGCAATAGTCTAACTAGAATCTGTGTTCTTAATACTACCTTATTTTGTTTCCTTTTAATAACAATAGCAACCTGACCATTTCAATTAAGTCACAAGAAATTAGAAAGAGTTTCTTACTATTTTGAATGCCAAATAAGAACATTCCCGAAGTCTGCTGAGATGAGCCAGGAGAATTTTGTAGTTGGTTCATTGTGCCTCCTGTGGTGTTGTGAAATAAAGGAGCCTGTGGCTGAGGTGAAGAAGTGGCTCCTTGGATTCCCGGCAAGTTGTTCTGAGAGGAATACAGAGGAGATTGCTGCATGTCCTGTTGGTTTATACTGGTTTGCAATGCAGACATGGATGCTGGAGACAGAAAGAGTGTTACTTGTTGTTCTTGGGAATTTGGTGATCCTTGTACCAACTGAATCTGAGGAGAGCTGTGGAACAAGGAAGTCTGTGGGGATTCAGACTGGCTGGGTCCTGGGTTTTGAAGAGAAGAAACTGGGGGCTGATTTTGGAATTGCATTGGCTGCTGTTCTTGACTCATTGGAGCCATGTTGCTTTGTTGGTGAAAAATTGCCTGGTTCTGTTGTTCCTGGCTGGCCAGCGGATTTTGATTAGGGCTGAATATCATGTTCGGTGGTGGCTGCTTTTGAGATGCCATTGCAGCCATAGTATTTTGATTGCTAAACAACATGCTTTGCTGCTGTTGCTGCTGCTGCTGCTGCTGTTGTGCTTGCTGCTGCTGCTGTTGCTGCTGCTCCTGGGATGGAGAGTTACTCTGCATAGCCACCATTGAATGCTGTGACTGGAAAATTGCTCCTTGTTGGTTTTGAGGCATTGCATTAGGTGGAAGAGAGCCCAAGGATACTTGTGGCTGAAATAAACCTTGTTGGGAAGATTGCGTCTGTTCCTGTGAAAGCATAGGATTCTGGATGTGTGTTATTGCAGTCTGCTGTTGGAAAGCAGCTTGTTGTTCAGTGTTTGATGCTGACTGAAGAGGAGAAATGGAGTTCTGTGCTGCAAAAAATGAAATCTGTTCTTCTTGGGCTACTGTGTTAGCTTGAAGATTATTCATAGGACTTTGGGAAAGAAATATGTTCGGTGACTGCTGGTCCTGAGGAACTGAAGAGCTCTGTAACACAGTGATGGTGCTTTGAGAGTGAAACATTGAAGACTGCATTTGTTCAGACGAATTTGTAGAAGTCTGACTATGGACAATGGGGTTTGGACTGTGAAAAATAGAGCCTTGAGTTTCCTGGGAAAGGTTCTGAGCATCGGCAATAGGATTCTGAGTATGAAAAAGTTGAGCCTGTGAATGAGAAGACTGCTGTAAAAAATTCCCAGATTGAAGTGACATCATCTCACTACTCTGCTGGAATAAACCATTATTTTGTTGCTGGGTACCACTATTCTGAACACTCATCATACTTTTTGTAGATGAAAAAAGGTTAACTTGAGACGGACTGTCTCCATTATGTTGCATTTGGACCATGGTTTGAAAGACACTGCTCTGAATCTGTTTTCCTTGTGCTCCAGTTTCTTCTCCATCTCCCGAACTTGATGTCTGAAACATAGAGGTGCCAGCGGTAGCAACTTGCTGTGTTGTGGTTGTAGAAGTTTCATTTCCAGAAACTGCAGGAGGAGAAGAAAACAATTCACACTGCATCTGCATGTCCTCACTGGAAGACAATGCACTCATCATATGAGAAGGCTGTTGGTAAACAGGTGATTGCTGAAGGTTTCCATTTGCTGAGGCAGTTGAAGGAAATAGCTCTGACTGGATCTGGGCAGCTGCCTGGCAGATACTCTGTTGCATCTCCATCACCATTGCAGCGGAGGATTCCATCACTTGCTGTTGCTGTTGCTGCTGTTGTTGGCTTGATAATGCGTTTTCAGACTGTGGATGAACACTTTCAGCTCGTCCAGGTATTAAATTATCTGGCCTGGTATGGACTGTTGGCTCCGTTGAGGAGAATATTGCAGGGCTTACGCTATTTTGAATTTGACTGACTTGTTGAAAAATGTCTGCACTAAGCTGTTCTTGAACATTCTCATTACCATCTGGAGCGGAAAATAAAACTGAAGATAATTGTTGTTGTGCCTCTAAAACTTGTTGGACCAAGTCAACACTTCCACTGTTGGCACTAGCACTACTGCCTGCAAAATTTCCTGCTTGTAACTGCTGAATAGTATTCTGTAGCTGACTCACACTATTTGGTGACGGAAAAATATTTGGTGAAATCTGCTGCTGTAAAGTCTGTGCTTGTTCTTGTAGTGGTGGCTGTTGTTGTGGTGGTGCCTCAGTCAGTTGTGACAAATTAACCACTGTACCATCCGACTGTAACACTTCTCTAGATTGAGTTTCTCTTGTCTGAAACTGTGTAGCCTGCTGCAGTAAGGCTTCACTGTTGGGCAGCTGACTAGAGGCAGAAACTGTTGGAAAAGTACCGGCCTGTGAGATGTCCTGTGTTTGGATAGTTGTCAGGGTTTCTGGGTTGTATGCCTTAGCCTGGATCTGCTGCTGCTTTTCATTTTCAGACGACAAATGGGAAGATGATGGAGATGAAAAGGACCCATTCCCTGCTATATTAGAGATATTTTCTAAAGTTTGCTGAGTTGATCCAACTGTCTTAGTAGTCTAAAAAATAAAAATTCCCAAGTAATATTTAATATACGAAACTCATCAGGAGATATATACATTCAAGATTGCTTTATCTATTTGAAAGGCAGAGTGAGAAAAAGAGAAAGAATGACAGTGCATTCACCAGCTCATTCTGCAAATACCTGCAATATCTAAGGCTGGGCTAGGCCAAACCAGGAGCCTAGAACTCCATCTGGGTTTCCCACATGGAAGGCAAGAACCCAAGTGTTTGGGCCATCATCTGTTGGCTTCCAGCAACGTTAGCAGGAAGCTGGACTGCAGTAGAGAAGCTGGGACTTGAACCAGCACTATAATTTGGGATATGGATGTCTCAAGCAATGGCTTAACTACTGTGTCACAAATGCTTCCCCAGGACATATTTTTAAAAGTCTGATACACAAAGTCAATTAAGGAGGTCATGAAATAATTAGCTATTCATATAATAGTAATTCAATATTTAGCTCAGACAAAATCATGGTAAAAAGAATACATTTTCATGATATCCATAAGGTTCTTGAATAGATTTTAAAGTAACTTATAAGTAAGTTATATTCAGTAAAAGCATTATAATATACATATTAAATAGAAGCATTACTGAGAGAAAAACAAGAGAAAATGAGAGGGAGAATTATGAGGAGAGACTTAGAAAGACAAACAAAGTGATAACATTTTCATTTATATTATTTAGGCTGTAAAGTCTAGCTAACATACTAATTCCTTTTTTCTTTAAGTCAAAATGTATACTGACAGTCCCTCTGCTAATGTATAAAGCATTTACTGAGAAGTGAAATTCATTAAGTACATCCAAAGCAAAACAAATGTGAAATAGGAAAAACACAATACAGCAATTTTTATATATAAGGTAAAGTTCTGTGGTACCAGTCAATATAACTCACCTTAAAAATAGGAGAAGATCTTTTTTCTGCTGTTATTTCCATTGGAGTAACATCTTCACTTTTAATCATAGTGCTTGATATCAGTGGAGTGATCAGAGCATTAGGAAGAATATTTACCTTATCCAAGTTACATCCAGTAGTTTTCATTGCTACACATAAAAAATACAGAAAACTTTAAAATCACAAACATAATCAACTGTTTAATAATATATTAACCCTAAATTATGATCTGAATGTATTTTGGATGCTATGATGAGACACGAAATGGAATATCAAGGTGTACTGGTCTTTTTTTGTAGTGTACCGACTGGCCCTGAGGATTGCTGTAGACTTAAGTGATTCCATTATCAAGCTGCATCTTCAAAGATCCGTTCAAATGCCTTGTATTATACTACCATAACATGATCACAGTCTTTTGGGGAGCATTGCAAATGTCTGTGAAAAGTGAAATTAAAGCATAAGCTTATTCTTAGTTCAAAAATGTTTGAAATCCATATACACAGTGTCTTCAGATTTCAAAGTGTTTTTTTTTTTGCATAAAATACTTATTTAAGCTATATCTATGGATCTTTTGAAACCCTCTATTATAAGCTACAGCTTGGAAATCACCAAGGAGTTAGAGCTACTCAATTATAACGATTACACTTTTCTCTCTAAGATATACTTATTTTTATTGGAAAGGAAGATGTACAGAGGAGAAGAGGCAGAGAAGAACATCTTCCGTCTGATGATCCACTCCCCAAGTGACTGCAAATATTACTGAGTAATATTTCATGGGATAGAAATACCATATTTAATCATTTACCGATTAAAGGACATCTTGCTCCCGTTACTGTATGAATAAGGTAGATTATCCATTTTACCAACCAAATTCATAAGTCTCAAAACAATCTAAACACAAAACCCTATCTTGGGCTTAAATCACTACCTCCAACATCATCACCCCCTTCAAGTCCTGAGCCCAAGACTTCTGATCTGATCTAGCTCCCTGCTAAAGCACTGGAAAAGCACAGAAAACAGCCCAAGTGCTTCAGCCAATGCCACTCACATTGGAGAACCCGATGAAGCTCCAAGCCCAAGATTTTAGTTTAGCCCAGCCTGAGCCTCTGTGGAAATGAACCAGTGGAGTAACATTTCTTTCAATCTTTTTCATTCCCCATGCTATAGTTCTTTCAAACAAATAAGTAGTTTTTAAAAAACGTTTTCAGGGCCCGGACTGATAGCCTAATGGCTAAAGTCCTCGCCTTGCATGTGCTGGGATTCCAAATTGGCATCACTTTGTGTCCGAGCTGCTGCACTTACCTTCTAGCTCCTTGCCTGTGGCCTGGGAAGACAGTAGAGGACAGCCCAAAGCCTCCGGACCCTGCACCGCGTGGGAGACCTGGAAGAAGCTCCTGGCTTCAGCTTGCCTCAGTGTCGGCCATGGCAGCTACTTTGGGAGTGAATCAGTGGATGGAAGATCTTTGTTTCTCTTCTTTCTATAAATCTACCTCTCAAATAAAATATTAATTTTTTTTTCATTTTATTGGAAAGGCAGATAAAATTTACAGAAGAGACAGAAGATCTTTCATCCAATGATTCAAACCATAATGGCCAAAATAACTGGAGCAGAGTCTATCTGAGGCCAGGAGCCAGGAGCTTCTTGTGGATGTCCCACATGAGTACTGGGTCCCAAGGCTTTGGACTGTCTTCAAATGCTTTCCCAAGGCATCTGGGCAGGCAGCTGGATGGAAAGTGGAGCAGCCAAGACACAAACTGGTGCCCATATGGGATCCAGGCATTTACCAAATAAATCTTTGAAAAGAACATGTATCTAGAAACTGATAAAGGACAGATTATAAATATCTTGACCTTCATTGATAATTAATCATGGCATTCTTCATGTAACTACCACAGCCATAATGATTTCTGTATTTATACACTAAAGCTCACAGGGTATTTTTTTAATCCTAGCTAAGTGATGCTGGCAAATTATTTAGCCTCTCTGGAGCTTTGGCTTTCTCATCTGTGAAATGAGAATCATTTAAGTTACTTACCTTAGAGAGTTTAGAGGATTAAATAGGAGAATGCTTTTAAAGAGTTTAGCATATGGCCTAGCACTTACATGTTAAATAAATGTAACCTATGGCTATCAGTTGCTTTGTGAATTTTCCTTCAAAATACCTTCAGGTAATTTATATTCTGGAAAGTGTTCATCGTCAGAGAAATCATAATGAATGGCAAGCTGTCCCAAACACATTATATTTGTGAATGCTGAATTTTAGTATTGGCAACATAAAAGAAATTTCTCTGTCCTCGATTTCATTTTATTAACCTTGAAAGCATAAATAGGTATATAAAGCATTTTAATTTATAGGAATTTAAAGATAAAAAGAAAGAATATAGGAATATGCCAGTATATAATTGGCAACTTCATATAGCAAGTCACAAAGGCAGCATAGTTATACCCTATAGTTGTATCAGAAATAAGCTAAGGGACAGTGGGTGATGGTTAAGATGTTTATATCCAATACGGGAAGGTTCAAGATTGATACCCACTTGTAGCTCCACTTGTAGCTTTCTACTAACGCAGATCCTGGGAGCCTGCAGTGATGGCTCACAGAAGTGGGTTCCAGCCACCCATGAAGGAGACCTGGGTTAAATTCCCACCCAACATAGGCATTTTGGCAGTAAACCAGCAGATGGGAGTATTATCTTTCTCTCAGGGAAAGAGGAAGGAAGAGGGAAGAGTAAACAAAAGTGGGGGGTGGAACAAAGAGGAGAAAAAAAAATTTACAAAAAAACCTAGAACCAAAGCAAAAGCAGAATTTGGGGTGGGCATTTGGCACTGCAGTTAAGATGTTCTAGTCCAAGTCCCAAATTTGTGGTAATACACACCTGGAGGTAGCAGGAAATATTTCAAGTACTTGGGTTCATGCCAGCAACATGGAAGACCTGGACTGAATTTCAGGCTACTGGCTTTGGCCTGGAGCTCTTATAGGCATCTGAGAAGTAAGCTAGTGGATGGAAAATGTCTCTGTCTCTTTCATGGCCTTTCAAACATATAAATTAAAAAAAAATTCTGTGAAGGGAACAATCTTCATACTGGGTGGTACTGTCGTCAAGATACAATTTATATTAATTGCCTCTTGATTGGTAAGAGTAAGGATGTCAAAGAATAATTAAAGAATCTAATGCAGCTTTTTAAAATGTCCATAGTTCATATTTAAATATGTTCAGTCTCAGTGTAAAATATCAACCATTTGGGGGAAGAAAGCTTTATAGACTGTATTCTACATCTTTTTACTTTATACATGCTTTAAAAGATTTTCAACATGTTTGTGTATGTTTCAAAAGATGTATTTATTTTTTATTTAAAAGGCAGAAGTCAGAGAGAAAGGAAGATAGGGTAAAATCTTCCATGTGTTGGTTCACTCTCAAATGGCTGTATCAGCCTGACCAGCAGCTGCTTCTGGGTCCCATGGACTTGGGCTAGCCTCTGCTGCTTGCCCAGACATATTAGTAGGGAGCTGGATTAAAAGTGGAGTTACATGGACTTCACCTGGCAGCCATATGGGATGTTGGTGTCATACACAGAAGATTGGCTTGCTATGTCACCATGTCACCTAGACGCCCCGCCAATTTGTGTTTCAAAAATTAAGTGTATATGAATGGAGGAAAAGACCAAATTGGAATCAAGTTTCTATTTTACAATACGGAAAACACCCTATTAAGTGTTTCATGTACATGAGAAAAAAAAATACTAAGGTTTGCTACAGAAAACATATAGGATTAACTAATTGTTTTTGAGTAGAATTAACTTCATACCTTTCATGGCCTCTTCAAAAGAGCAAGGTCTTGCTGGACTAGATATTTCTTTCTTCACATTTACATTCAAAGCACCAGCTGCTGCTATGGAAAAAAAAACAGTTAATGAAGCTATTTAAATTTATTCATCCTATCAAAATATGTATCTTACAAATCATTTAATCAGAATATTTTGTCATAAGGCATGATTAAATTATTTATGTAGCAAAATCTCTACGTGGAGGTGAGTTTTTGTCAACAGTTGATATCCTGTACAAGTCACCAATCTACAGGTGGGCAGACTTAAAGAGTAATTAAAAAAAAAAACATTTCAGTGATACTATGAGGAGACAAATACCAAATTAGCAACATTTAAAACTTATCAAATACACTGCAGCAAAAGTACTCGCTCATGGATAGATTTAACCTAGCAGTGAAGATGCCAGTTCTTTTCCCCTGATACTTCAAGAATTCTAACATGAGAATGGGAAGTGTCTAGCTTTTTGATCATATACCAAGTTATCACCCCCGAATTTCACGTACACTATCCTCAACCACATAACCACGTGGTGGCAAGAGATTGAAAGCACTGGGCAGGAGGCCATTGAAGCTGTCCAAGGACAGGATGCAGCTGGAAGTAGGATGAAAAGAGTGGCAATCTGGGAGCATCTTTCCTTATGCTGCTGTATTCCATACTGAAACTCAGCATTCTGAAATGTTAAATTAAAATTTGGCTGGGCCATTGCGATAGCTTAGTGCCTAAATTTCTTGCTTTGCATGCATGGGTACCAGTTCCTATCCCAGCTGCTCCACTTCCTATCCAGCTCCCTGCTTGTGGCCTGGGAAGGTGGTCAAGGATGGCCCAAAAGCCTTGGGCTCAGACTTGGAACTAGTGCTCATATGGGATGTAGGTGGTGAAGACTGAGGCCTAGCCTTCTATTTTTAAAGATTTATTTTTATTACAAACTCAGATATACAGAGAGGAGGAGAGACAGAGAAAGCCTTTCTGTCTGCTGATTCACTCCCCATGTGGCCACCACGGCCGGAGCTATGCCGATTTGAAACCAGGAGTCAGTACCTTCTTCCAAGACTCACACAAGAGTGCAGGGTCCCAAGGTTTTGGGTTGTCCTCAACTGCTTTCCCAGGCCACAAGCAGGGAGGTGGATGGGAAATGGGGCCGATGGGATTAGAACCAGCGCCCATATAATTTCTGGGAGCATTCAAGGTGATGATTTTTGCCACCGGGTTACAGCGCCATATCCGAGGCCTAGCCTTATAAGCCATGGCAGCATTAAGTCAGAGTATTATTTCTAAATATCACTCTTTAGTCTAAACTTTCAGGTTATAATCTTTAATTTAAAACATATACATATATATTTATTTATTATTTTATTGAAAGGCAGAATGAGAGAGGGCATGCATGGGACAAAGAGGATACCAATCAGCATCTGTTGGTTTATTCCACAAATGGTGGGGTTTGAGTCAGACCAAAGCTAGAATCCCACATTTCTATCTGTCTCTACCATGTAGGTAGCCTGGGCCCATCCTGCCTTGCTTTCCTAGGCCCATTTGCAGGAAGCTGGAAGGGAAGTTAAACAGCTGGATTATGATCTAGCACCCATGCTCACATGGGATGTCACTAACATGAGCAATGGCTTAATCCACCGCACCACAAGGCTGAAATCAATTATGATCTGTTATTTGCGACAAGTGCTGAAAGGAATTTCATTAGTTCTTTATTGTGTAATATTTGTATCAAACTGGTAGAAAACAATCAATGAGGAAAACTTCAGACATGATTGAGAAGAAAACATGACACAGATAAATCAAGAGAAAGTAATTACTAAGACTACATGTAACTCTGTCCTAGTGGTTTTCCTCACCTATTAAAGATATATTTATTTATTTTTTAAAGATTTATTTTATTATTTTTATTGGAAAGGCGGATATACAGAGAGGAGAGACAGAGAGGAAGATCTTCCGTCCAATGATTCACTCCCCAAGTGAGCGCCACGGTCGATGCTATGCCAGTCCAAAGCCAGGATCCAGGAACTTCTTCCGGGTATCCCACACGGGTGCAGGGTCCCAAAGCTCTGGGCCGTCCTCAACTGCTTTCCCAGGCCACAAGCAGGGAGCTGGATGGGAAGCGGGGCTGCCGGGATAGAACCGCACCCATATGGGATCCCGGGCGTGCAAGGTGAGGACCTTAACCACTGCGTCACCGCGCCGGGCCCAAGATATATTTATTTTTAAAAAATAACTCTCACCTTCAACAAAATTTATTCATTATAGTTTGAAAGGCAGATCCATAGAGGGAAGGAGTGTTAGAGAAGGCTTTCCATCTATTGGTTCACTCCCCAAAGGGTTGCTAAGATGGGGAGTTTGGAGCCAGGAGTATCTGCTGGATCTCCTCTATGAGTGAAGGGGCCCAAGGACTTGAGCCATGCTCTGCTTCTGTTCCACTCCACATTAAAGAGGTGTACCAGAAGTGGAGCAACCAGTTCTGGTAAATTGGCATCCAAATAAGATGCCAATACTGCAAGCAGGCGATCAGTGTGATACACTCTGTGCTGGCTCCAAAGATTCATTTATTTATTTGAGAGGCAGAGTGACAGGCAGAGGAAGAGTCATACAGAAAGCTTGTATGTGATGGCAGACTCCCCAAATGGCCATAGATGGAAGACAAAAGCCTAGAACTCAATCCAGGCCTCCCACATGGGTGGGAAGGGCCTCATGTGGTTGCTTTCACAGGGACATTAACAGGGAGCTGGACAGGAAGCAAAGCAGCCACAAGCTGACCAAGTGTTCTGATACGGGATGTTGGCACTACAGGTAGCAGTTGAACTTGTAGTACACCGGTGCATGCGAGGCGAGGATTTAGTCATTGAGCCATTATGCTGAGTTAATTCTTTGATTGTCAGAGTGTAAGACAAAAATCATTTTCTTAGGAATACAAGCAGCATTTGGTGGCTGTTTTTTTAAGAAATAATGACGGGCCCAGCGCGGTGGCACAAGTGGTTAAGTCCTCGCCTTGCACGCCCGGGATCCCATATGGGCGCCGGTTCTAATCCCGGCAGCCCCGCTTCCCTTCCAGCTCCCTGCCTGTGGCCTGGGAAAGCAGTTGAGGACGGCCCAAAGCTTTGGGACCCTGCACCCGCGTGGGAGACCCGGAAGAGGCTCCTGGCTTCGGATCGGCATAGTATCGGCCCGTTGCGGCTCACTTGGGGAGTGAATCATCGGATGGAAGATCTTCCTCTCTGTCTCTCCTCTCTGTATATCCGCCTTTCCAATAAAAAATAATAAAAATAAATCTTTAAAAAAAAAGAAATAATGACAGGTCCGGCACAATGGTTCGATTAGGTAAATCTTATCTGTAAATCAGTCTTTCCAGTACAAATAAATAAATAAAATTCATCTAAATGAGTAACTTTATCTCTTTGGTTGCTTGGTCTTTATATCCTTCCCAAACACTACAAATTCATTACTAATTTTAGTACACAATCTTTTACTTTGACATACCTGGGTCTGGAGTGTAAGTGAACGGTTGAACATCATGAGATCTTCCAGCATTGGTCACTACATATATTCCCACAGATACAGGTAAAGTTATATGTTGATCATGATATGGTGGAACTTTCACAATAAGATGATTCTAATTAAAAAAATAAATACATAAAAGCATGAGTCAGAAAAGAAGCAACACCTAAAACAATTATTAATTAAATTTACCTCCTGTTAGCTGTAAGTTTTCAAATCTGATTAGAAGAAGAAAGCACCTTAAAGATCAAGTTTATTGGTATCAAGGTATTAAGTCTGCTTTTCAAATGATGTCCAAATGCTTTACAACTGCTTACAGGGTTTGGTCACTTCATTTCATTCCTTCTCCACTCCTGGTTCTCCACACTCCAGGCAGCTGATTTCAGTCTATTCTTTTGACAAACTAAACTGAATTTCACCTCATATTGTTACACTTTTTTAAATGGATAAGATCAGAGCTCATTTTCAGGTATTATACAAATGTTACTTTCTCTCAATGAAGCCTTCCATATCATCCTCCCCATCCTCATCACATAATCTAGTTTATTTTAAACTTTAAAAATTGGTATTTCAAAACTCAACTAATACCACCTGCTGGCATGGATGTGGGGAAAAAGGTACCCTTCTTCACTGCTGGTGAGTGTGCCAGCTAGTACAATCACTATGGAAATCAGTATGCAGAGTGCTCGGACAATTGCAAATAAAACTGCCATATGACCCAGCTATCCTGTTCCTAGGATTAAAAATGTATATGAGAGAAGGGGACCTGTAATCCTATATTTACAGCAGTACAATCTACAATAGTGAAGACATGGAAACAATCCAGATGCCTAGCCAAAGAGGAGTGGCTAAAGAAACTGTGGTACATCTATTCAATGAAATATTATTCAGTCATTAAAAAAAGGATGAAATTATACCATTTGTAACTAGATGGTCCCAACTAAAGACAGTTACACTCAGTGAAATAAGTCGATCCCCAAAAGACAAATACCATATGTTCTCTTTAATATAAGGAAACCATCATGCAAATTTTAATGTATAGTGATGGACTAATGGAGACTATCATATCCAGATGTGAAGACATAATGCAACATGCATCCCTACTTCCAAACAAAAGATGGACTCCCAATGAAAAGTGTTGGGCATATCTAGACAATGGGATGATGGAGTGTTTGACATGATCTGTACCAGCAATACACATTTTTTTTTCTTTGAAAGACACAGTTATGCAGAGAAGGAGAGTCACAGAGAAATGTTATACTTGCTGGTTCACTCTTTAAATGGTCACAATGCCCAGGATTGAGCCAATCCAAAGCCAGGAACCAGGAGCTTCTTATATGTCTCCCACATGGCTACAGGGGCCCTAAGATTTGGACCATCCTCTGCTGCCTTCGGAGGCACTTTAACAAGGAGCTGAAAAGCAGCTGGGACAGGAACTAATGTTCATATTGGATATTGGTGCTGCTGATGGAGGCTCAGTCTACTACACCACATCACCAGCCCACCCCCCCCCCTTTTAAAGATCTCTTTATTTAAAAGAGTTAGAGCAAGACAGAGAAACAGAGAGAGAGAGAGAGAAAGAGAGAGAATGAGAACGAATATCTTGTATCCACTGGTTCATTTCCCAGATGACCACAAAGGACAGAACTGAGACAGGCCAAAGCCAGGAGCCAAGAGCTTCCTTCAGGTCTCCCATGTGGTTAGCAGGTTCCCAAGCATGTTGGCCACCTTCTGCTGTTCTCACCAGGCCAATTAGCAGAGAGCTGGATGGGAGGTGGGGCAGCCAAACATAAATAAGAGCCCAGATGGAATACCTTAACTTGCTGTGGTACAGCAACAACCCCAACATTGTTTATGCTATAACGGTACTTATAACCACTTGAAATTGCAGATTACTCGCTTTTTAATTGTTGGTCGATCTCCAACCACAAGAATGTAAACTCCATGAAGAGAGAGACTATTCTTTTTTCCATTCTATCTTCTGTGTTAAGCATCAAACCCAGTGGGGTCAGTGTTATGGCAAGGCAGTTAAGACTGCTGCCTTCAAGCCAACAACCTATAGGCCTAGGCCAGCCCTGGCTGATGAGGTCATTAGGAAATTGTATCACAGTGGAAGACCTCTCTCTTTGCCTGTCTCCCACTTACTCTCTGTAATTCTGCTTTTCAAACAAATCTTTAGAAAAAGCAATTACTTGGCAGGGTCCAGTATTGTGGCATAGCAAGCAAAAATGGCTCCTGTGACACTAACACAGCATCCTACATAGGCTCTAGGTTGTGATCCTGGTTGTTCCATTATGGATCCAGCTAATGATGTGGAAAAAGCAGTGGAAGATAGCCAAGCACTTTCCCTTCTTTGCACTGACTCTGGAGACCAGGAAGAAGCTTCGGGTTCCTGGCTTGGCCTGTGCTGATACTGGCTGTTGCAGTAATCTTGGGAATGAGTCAGCTGACAGAAGAACTTTGTGTCTCTCCCTCTCTCTGTAACACTGACTTTCAAGATAGATAAATAGGCGTCTGCAGTCATGCTCCTATTAATTGGCTCCTAGTTTCTTCCCTCCTGGAATTCCTAAAATTCCTGGCCTGAGGCTACTTCTTACCCTATATAAGATTCTTAATTGGAACTGTTTAAACAGGGAAAAAAAAAAGGTAAATAAAAAAATTTTCAAAAGTAATTACTTGGCAAACTGTGTAACTGAAATTATTATTCAGAGTAAAATGTTGCTCTTCATAGTTAGAAGAATAGTATCTACAAATCAATCTAGTTTGATATCAATGCCTTATATTTCCTCAGTCTGAAGAATTTGTGCAGCCAACTTAATTGAAAATCAAGTAATTGCAAATGTGGAAAATGAGCTTTTCAATATTACTCCCACAATCTAGAATTACTCAAACTAGAATTACTAAGAATACAACACACGGGGCCTGGTGCAATGGCGCAAGTGGTTAAGGTCCTCGCCTTGCACGCCTGGAATTCCATATGGGCACCGGTTCTAATCCCGGCAGCCCTGCTTCCCAACCAGCTCCCTGCCTGTGGCCCGGGAAAGCAGTCGAGGACGGCCCAAAGCTTTGGGACCCTGCACCCGTGTGGGAGACCCAGAAGAGGCTCCTGGCTTTGGATCGGCATAGCATCGGCCGTTGCGCTCACTTGGGGAGTGAATTATCGGACGGAAGATGTTCCTCTCTGTCTCCTCTCTGTATATCTGCCTTTCCAATAAAAATGAAATAGATCTTAAAAAAAAAAAAAAAAAAAAAAGAATACAACACACGTAAAATATACCAAGGGTTAGGAGACATGTGGAGGATGTGTTCTACAGGGCAAAAAGAGAAGAGTATTTAAATTTTAACTTCTTAGGAAAATCTGAATTCAAAATAACTTTTTTTCCCCCTTAGTAATTTTTTCTCAGCATATGCAAGAAAATTCTGCTAGATAATTTTTTTACACGCCAATGAAATAATTTATCATTTCACATTAATTTTACAGTTGGGGATTTAAATAATTGGATGTGACCAGGGCACACCACAAAATCACTATTAGAATCAATCTACAAGTATAAAATCTATAAACCCTCAAATATTTAGCCTAGTGATTCCTAAAAATCTTGCTGAGAAACTTTTGGCATGTGTTTCAAGAATTTTTTCTCCATTTTAATATTACATCTTCCCCCAAACTATCCTTTATTCCACCTGTTATTTTGTATACACACATATACATAAACATAACATACATACTCACGTAAATGTTTATATAATATAATGAAAATTACTCATAATTTATTTAAAGTTGCTAACAGGCAGTAGACTTGACAATTTACCATCCATATTAGGTATACATGAACCATAAAACATATATTATGGTCATGATTAGAAGAATCATTACTAAAACACTATTTTCTAAGATCTCAGCTCTGATTTCAATCTAAGAAAACACATGCCAGAAAGCCCCGAAGGAAAAGAATAAAACGTCTTTTTTAAATTGAGAATTAAAAATTGAGCAAAGCCAAACATTACTGATAAATTACAATTTAATTTGCATGTAAACTTGCTTAAAATACTCCAGGACCTAGCTACCAAATAAAGACATAATTTTTTCCTATTTCACCACATCTTTGATTACTACTATTGCACCCCTGTTAAAAAATCACTTATTTCTATTGGAAAGGCAGATTTACAGAGAAGAGGAGAGAGAGAAAGATCTGTCTGCTGATTCAGTACCCAAATGGCCACAATGGTCGGAGCTGAGCTGATCTGAAGTCAGGAGTTGGGAGCCTCTTCTGGGTCTCCCACGCAGATGCAAGGACCCAAGGTTTTTGGTTATCCTCTGCTGCTTTCCCAGGCATAAGCAGGGAGCTGGATGGGAAGCGGAGCAGCCAGGACATAAACTGCATTTAAACAGCTTAGGATCATGGAACTTGGAGATGGAACATTAGCCAACTAAAGAGTGTTTTAAAATGAAACTACCTTATGTCTCAGAGGAAGGGAAGGAAGGAAGGAGGGGGGGAGGAAGATAACGAGAGATGACAGAATGGAAGGGAATGGAAAAATGACTTACTAAGGTAAAATTTGATACGAAATAGCAAGTTAAGATTGTACTTTGTTGGAACTATTTTATCAATACTTTGCATAATTTGTAAGGCCATTCTCAAATTCTAAAATGAGTCTTTATCTATAAATCTGCATTAGTGAAGTAACACTTTAAGAAAAGCCATTAAAGGGCATGGTGGCATGGCCTAGCAGCTGAAGTCCTCGCCTTCAACGTGCCAGGATCCCATACGGGCACCGGTTCTAATCCCAGCAACTCCACTTCCCATCCAGCTCCCTGTTTGTGGCCTGGGAAAGCAGGCCTATGAAACTGTATCATAGAATGATAATAATCAAAAGCACAATTAACTAAAAAAAAATTAAATTTGACAGTCTAACCATATTTATAAATAATCAACTTTAATCGCATGATTTATAACAATTGAGGGTTTTTGCTTACTGTTTCCAAAGCTCTACAGAAAGTGTGGGTGTTTGTAGAGGGGCAGGGTAAAGAAGAAGAAAACTGCTCAACAGTTTCACATACAAGACAGTTACATTAACTAATTATTCAAAAAACAAAAACCATGTTCATGGAATATAAAAGTATAACTTGGATAAATTTAACTTTAGTCAGGATTAAAATGATAGATCTATAGGATACCGGATGAAATTGGGGTGTGAATGGAAATAACACAGGGCCATATTTTTTTTTCAAAGCAAATAAAACTAGTAAGTTTTTTATAGTAGGTAACAAGTATTTACTAAGCATTTGCTATCAAGTGAATCACAGAAGGTTAACAACATGTTGTGTCTAACTTCCACATCTCCAGAGGAACCAACCGTTGGTTCCCTGGAGACAGCTCCCAGATCAGCCCATGGAAGATCTTTCTCTGTCACTCTCTCTCTAACTCTGCCTTTCAAATGAAAATAAATATATTTAAAAACAACAAGATTCACTCATGTTTATTTCAAACAGAAAACTTGTCTATCATCAGTAAAGAAACTTTCATGTACATCAATCTCACATAAAGAGGAAATCTTATCTATTGACTCAGGAAAACCTTAGAACAAAACTGAATTGCTAAGAGAATAAACATAATTATAAAAAGGCTTAAATTATACCTGATGAAACAATTCCATGTCAATTTCAGCTTCTGACTTCCAAGAGTTTTCATCTGATTGAAATAAAAACAGTGATTTACTACCATACTCCTGGTCAACTTTTTTACTCTGAAGGCATTACTGCTGTATCTTTACAACATAAAACAATCTTTAGAACAAAAATACATCTACTTACCAGACACATTTTCTTGGAAAATAACTTTAGTTCCTTTCAGAAAATTCTTGCCAATTAAGAACACTTCTTCTTCTCCTTTCACTGAACAACTATGTAAGCTTTTCTTTAAGATTTCTGGCACTCCTGCTGGCTGAGCTGTGTGGGATAAAAAAGCATTCCATAAAAAGAACCACTGACAATTCTTACCTCAAATCAACTTATAATTCTGTGCCCAGTTGTATGAGTTACCTTTTTGAATTCTTAATTTAGTTTCCTCTACTTTATAATTTTTACTATATAGAGCAGAGAAAAAAAATTAGCAGTCAATGAATTTTAAATTTTTCTTTTTTTTTTTTTAGAGCTTTAATTAATTTTTTCTTGGGAAGTCAAATTTACAGAGAGAAGGCGAGTCAGGGATAAAGATCTTCCGTTCACTGGTTCACTCCCCAAGAGGATCCAACAACCGGAGCAGAGTCGCGATCCAGAAGCTTCTTCTGGGTCACCCATACAGGTGCAGGGTCCCAAGGCTTTAGGCCATCCTGGACTGCTTCCCCAGGCCACAACAAGCAGGGAGCTGGATGGGAAGTGGAGCAGCCAGGACACGAACTGACATCCATATGGGACCCTGGCACATGTAAGGCAAGGAAAGATTCAGCCAACAGGATACTCTGCTGGGTCTAGTCTATTAAATTTTAATTTGTAAGATCTTCTAGGGATGAACAAATGATCAGCATGAGGTTTCCATTTACTGCTCAACTTTAATGAAGAGAATATACCTGACAAATCAATCAGGCATCTTAGGAAAAAACTGAGGGTAGAAAATTGATATTTTTAATTTGATCTGATTGTATAAACACAATTACCAAGATGAACAAACACACCTAGGCTGTCTGAAGACTTCTAAAGATGTTAAGAATAGAAAAGGGAGTGATGTTTCCATTTGCAAAATACTAAAAGGAAAGGAAGCAGGAGTGTGGGAGTCAAGCACGATCATTTTCTTGGCAATTATATATGAAAATTATGACATCTGATCTCTAGTTATAAGTAAATAATGTTATAAAAAAATCAGAAGAAACCAAAAATAAGCCAAACAGACAAAAAAACAACAAAATACAGACAAAGGATCCAGTGGTCATGGATAAACCACAGGAAATCTTTTTAAGGCCACAAAGCACAGCATGAATAATGGCATCAGGCCTTCTTTTCATTGAGTATTCCTCCATGGAAGATCAAATATCTGTTCCTCAGCTCCCATTCACCTCTAACACTTTGTGGCTCCTCTTCCTTTTCTACCTCCCCTTCATCTTCCTGCTTCCTTCCCTCACCCATTCTAATTGCAAACCTTTATCAACCTATTTCCTTTTCTCCTCTTACTCTATCTCTACTGCTCAATTCTCTCAAAACACTGTATTCATGGAGATAAACACAGATAAGAAATTCATAATAAATTTCATTATTGAATATCTTTTGGGCTCTTTGTTCTACTGGACATTCTTTTTTCCTTGAAAAAAAAATTTTTTGTATTGGAAAGACAGAGTTACAGAGTGAGATGAGACACAGAAGTCATTCCTCAGCTGGAGCTGGTATAGTCTGAAGCCAGGAGCCTATATCCTTATCTGGCTCTCCCAACAGGGGAATGCAAATGGAACAGCACGGATATGAATCAGTGCCCATATGGGATGCTTGGTGGCACAGACCTAGGTTTAACCTGGTTTTCCACTGCGCCGGCTCTACTGGGTAATCTTTTTTTTTTAAAGATTTATTTTTATTATTATTTTTTTATTGGAAAGGCAGATATACAGAGAGGAGACAGAGAGGAAGATCTTCTGTCTGATGATTCACTCCCCAAGTGAGCGCAATGGCCGATGCTATGCCGATCCGAGGTAAGGAGCCTCTTCTGGATCTCCCACACGGGTGCAGGGTCCCAAAGCTTTGGGCCGTCCTCGACTGCTTTCCCGGGCCACAGGCAGGGAGCTGGAAGGGAAGCGGGGCTGCCAGGATTAGAACCAGCGCCCATATGGGATCCCGGGTGTGCAAGGTGAGGACCTTAACCACTGCGCCACCGCACCGGGCCCATCTACTGAGTATTCTTTACATGGCCACTCTCTGCCACACTCATTCCACAAGCTCGCCAGAATTGTAAGATAAAACTCAAAGTATTTTGGTGAGCATGCAAGTATTCTTATAAATGGAACCTCCAACCATAAAACCTACCAATTTTTTTTGTTACATCTTTTGCTCCTATTATATCACTCTAACAAATCATTTCCATGGGTCTTCCGAAAGTTCACAGAAAATGTGTATTATGAAAAAGAAATATATAGATTTTAAAAATTAATATAAAAATTAGTTGAGAAGTATAGAGGCAGATAAAGAACTCCGACCCACTGGTTCCCTTAACTGTCAGCAACAGGAGCCAGAAGCAGAAAACTTAGCCTCATTTCCCAACCTGACAGGGATCCAGCTCCTTGCAAGAAACTGCAGTTAAATGTCTAAGTTGAATACTGACCTTATATACTCCACTATGGGTCACGGGTGCTTTAATAAGTGTCCTAACCTCTAAGCCAAGTGCCTGCCTTTGGATTTAAATTTTGGGGGGCAGGGGTGAGACCTAGTGTTGTGGTGCAGTATGCAAATCCACCTTCTGCAATGCTAGCCTACCATGAAAGTATTGAATCCTAACTGCTCTACTTCCAATCCCTGCTCATGCAGCTATGGAAACAGCAGAAAATGTCCCAAACCAAACTGTAGCCCCCTTAAGTGCAACAAAAATGACAGTTCAACTGAACAATTTGGCTGTCTGCCAAAATATTATTACTCACATGAATATGAACATATTTAGATGTAATATAACCATTTCCCAGTCCTTGTCAACACAAGGTGATCTAACTGTTTGTACCTCCTATCTCTGGTCTTCACAGAGTGGCTTAGTTCATATAAAATAAGAACTACATCTGTTCCATTAAAATCAGATCTTCATCCCACTAACATCAATGTTGTAAATTACAGCAAATTCAGAAATGGAGTATTCTTTTTGGATAAGTTTTATAACTGAATTATTCTGTGCCCATCTGAATGTGATAAATGGACACAGAACCTACAATCTTTACATGGGCCTATATATAAGTAGATACTACACAGAAAATTAAAAATGCTAGCATAAATATTGTTATTACAATAAAAAATAGAAAAACCCAATTGAGCTCTCTTGAGGTCAAAGGTACTTGTAAGTGTACCTTGTTATTATAATCAGGTGCTTGCAAAGCTGCAGAATAGGTATAATAATTTCTGATATGAATCAAAATGAAGAGGAAATATTTTTTTCAAAGGACGAATACTTTGACAACATTATACAATAAATAAATAACAACTGCTCTATAACTGTCCAAGAGATAGCAAAATAACCATAGAAACTCAACAGAAACTAAATTAAATTGAACAATTCTCTATTGCTCTTTGAATTCATACATAAATTATTAAAAAGCACAGCTCAAGCAAATCACCCATAAAAAATTTCTTTGGTAATATATAAACAAAAAAAATTCCACTATTTATTCCTTTCAATAAGCATTAGAGAAAAACTAGTCATTATGAGATTCATCTAACTACTTGATGAAACTGAAAGATCTATATACCATTTTCTATTAAGTTATTAAAAGAAGTACCTTTCACTTTCAAACACTACAATATAACAAGTTTATAATGGGAATTTTGCTATCACAAATTTCTGCTTTTTCTTACCCTTATGTTTTAACAAGCAGCAATTCATCAAACAGTAAAAATGCCTGGATAATCCTTTGGTTTTGTATTTACTTCTGTCAATTTATATTCAAATCATTGCATGATAACAAGCTACAAAATGCTCTATTTTTAATTTTATTAGAGTTATTCAGCTCAGTCTGGAAAATTTGACTATAACTCTATTCCCAATTTTTTATGATCAGCAGCTAGAGCATATTAAATATTTAAAATTTAAAGATATCTAAAAGATGAAAAAAAAATCAATAAAGTCCATATATGTACTATCTTCATATATTCTTACTTACTACACAAAATTGGAGAAGAGGGTGTTTGTAGTGTCAAAGTAGAGCCATCTTTCCTCATGATATTAACGCGAAAAACCAATCTGGCACGAGTGCTTTTTTTCTTGGAACCAGCAATTCCTATTCGGGCTTCAACATCAGCATTCCTCAATTTTAATATTCCTACACAGTCCACCCTAGGAGAGAAAGAAAATTAACCTATTGTTAAAATAGAATCAGTACAAAATTCTTAGAGTTTTTAAAAATGTAATTATCTATTGATTCTTTGAGTACCCAGATTCCAAATTAAAAAATACAAAAGGGTAAACATATTCAGTTTCTAATCCGGACAAGTTTTGATTTATAACAGAAATCATTTATGAGACTGTTTTTCTTTAAAAACAATAAATTTAGCTTCTTTATGTGTGTAGTTAGTTCAGATATTTAAATATCAGGGATGGGTTTTACTATAAAAAATGAGTATTCCTATGAAGACAGAATATCACTGAAAAATATGTGATGAAATAAAAAAAAGTGAGATATTTAGTGATATGAGAAAATGTTCATGATATGGTAGGTGAAAATCAAGTCACAAATTAATTGGAACAGTAACACATCAATTTTGTTTTAAAATGGCTAGGAATATAAACATTAAAGCTGCAGCTATTTGTCAAAGTCAGAATTTAAAGGACATGCTTCCACCCTTTACTATGTTTTCAGCTTTTTCATAACGAACAATTACTATTGTAAAAATGAGTGACTCACTCCTCCATACTATGTATATTTACTTTTATATTTTTCAAAAGTATGTATACAAAAAAATATCTTGCTGCTGATGAAAAATACAGTATTCAATGTAATTTTTTGAAAGGTAGGTTAGGGTAAGATAAACAAAAGACCGATTTTAGACTAACCATATGATTTTCACATCAAGATGGGACAGTCACCTCAAAATTCCTCTCAAATAGTTTCTACAGCAAACACTGAGATGTAGTTTGGGAAAGCAAATCAAATTACCGAATTTTTCAGCATTATTAGTCAGTCTCTGTAACTATTCAGGAAGCCAGTGCTCCATGTGGCTTTCATTTCTGTGTTCCATACTAAAAATCTGCACCAAAAGCTATGAGATTTCATTTAATGCACTATACTTCTATCGTAATCTACTTAAAATGTATAATATTTAAAGTAAACAAAATATTCAAAGTCATTTATATACCTGAGACTGAAAAAATTCTTCTGCCTAACAGTATAATGTATAATGAGAAACTTCTTGAAGTACTTACGCCAGGGTCATATTGTTGCTAGGATCAAGGCCAACTTCTATAACAGTAGTGCCTTCAATGTCCACTTCTTTGCAGGGAGTTGTATTTCGTCCAGTTACCCTGCAGGCCTGATAAAATCCATGTGGCTTCACTCGACCAGAGTCATTGCCCACAAACACCTGCAACACTACTGGTTCATTATGGCCTTCCAGCTGTAACCAGACAATGTACGGCAGAAAAACTTCATTAGCATTTCATATAAGCTAACTGTAAAATCAGATATTTAAAACAAACTCCATTATTGCTAACTGATTACACTCTATAATTAAGAAAGGCTTTGGCCTGGCTAACTCCAATCTTGTGGAATTACACAGACTGCATTTTAAATGAATCTAAAATGTGACTAGCTAAAACTCCTCCTGTTAAATATCACCTATTCACAATTCTTTGCTCTTATCTTCAAAGAGAAATATTCCTTCTAATAAGATCTAAAAGGTCTGAAATTTAAGCCTCTTACAATTTCAGTCTGGAAAGACTAAGACTTGATTGATATATTATTTCTCAAACTAAGAATTAAATCAATTCTTTTCTGAATTGAAGAGTCCTGATCACCATAGCCATTCCTAAAACTATATTTTCTACGTCCTTAATAATTTCTATGATGAGTATTTTTTTTAAAGATTTATTTTTATTATTTTTTTATTGGAAAGGTGGATGTACAGAGAGGAGAGACAGAGAGGAAGATCTTCCGTCCGATGATTCACTCCCCAAGTGAGCGCAACGGCCGATGCTATGCTGGTCCGAAGCCAGGATCCAGGAACTTCTTCCGGGTCTCCCACACAGGTGCAGGGTCCCAAAGCTTTGGGCCGTCCTCAACTGCTTTCCCGGGCCACAGGAAGGGAGCTGGAAGGGAAGCAGGGCTGCCGAGATAGAACCGGCGCCCATATGGGATCCCGGGCGTGCAAGGTGAGGACCTTAACCACTGCGCCACCGCGCCGGGCCCAATATGAGTATTTTTTAATTCATCTTAAAATTTTTTTTTTTCCAGAATTGTTGAACTATCAAAACTGCTTGAGCAGGACCCTCAGAGTGTGCCTCACACCTGGGATGGGTAGGAGGCTAGGTGGGGCTTTTCCCTTTTTTTCTCCCCTGACCCCAGACACAGTGAAAAAAAGTGATGATTAGTGTGGAAACAATGGTCTTACCCACTTTCCTGTGGCCCTTGACCCTTTTTACTCTAATCAACTACAAAAATATAAAATAAAATAAAATATAGCCTGGGGAGTGAATTAACAGACAGAAGATCTTTCTCCCTGTCTCTCCTCATCTCTGTATATCTGACTTTGCAATTAAAAACAAATACATCTTTTTATTTTTTTAATCCCAATATCAAATATAAGGGGAGATAATTCATAGTCTGCATATAGTTCATTTTTCAGAGCATTATGTAACAGCATTTGACTTTTGCAAAACAACTTTCTAATTTTTCTGTTATATATTACAAGCTAACAACTTCACCCCTTAGACAATTTTTGATGTGTCTAAAAATAAAGGGATTACTAATACTGGATAAAATCCTTAATATTACTGAGTATAAAATAATTACCTTTACTGTCGGAAAACCCTGCTGTGTTCTGTCTTTCACGGAGCCACGACTGCCCTCTGTCAGGTACCGAGCGCGGTGCTGCGTCTCCGGCTGTACTACTATCTTCAGCTCCTTTCCCTCACTCTTAACAGGATACTGTCCACACAACATAGGGCTCTTCTTCACTCCACTTCCTTTTTGGTTTTCCAAGGTTCTGAGAAACCAAAGCACAATGTGAAGAAAAGTATTGAAACACATTTCCTATAAAAGTCATCCAAAAAAAATAAACAGTACCAGCAAACGTTATTAAAAATAAACTTCTTAGTAAATACATTCCATACGCAAAGTATCTTTAACACTTTCCTAACAAAAGGTAACCCCATGATGTCAAAAATGAAGTTGGACAGGAAAGAGAACATGTATGAATCGTAGGATGCTAGGAGGAAGATCGAGAGTGCAACAGGAAAGAACGGCTAATGTTACTAAAAACTTTCACACAGATTTTGATCAAAGTTAAAAAATTATGGAATCATTTATAAAAATACACCACATATTTATCTGATGTCCTATTATTGTTTAATCAGACTCACAATGCAAATGAAACAAAGTGAAAGTCGTTTTAAAAAAAAACATTCGAACAGGACTTTAAAAAAAGATGCAAGTTCTTTCAGATATCTTTTTCACTAAGTCAAATGGAAAACTGAAACAAACAAAAAAAAACCCAATGAGTCATTTTTTAATTGGGAATTTAGTTTTACTCTAAACAATCATTTCCAGAAGTGTGATTTTTCAGAATTTTTTAAAATCAAGTAAATAATATTTTATAATCTGGACCTTACAACAGATATAACATAACAAACAGCAAATTAACTAAGCTAATTGATATTTGAAAGGCAGAAGATAGAGTTGACTCCTACCTACTAGTTCACTGGTCAAATGTTAAAGCTAAGAGAGGCCAAAACCAGTCTAGAAGTCCAGGTCACCCACATGGATGATGGGGACTCAAATGCCTGGGCTGTTATCTGGCATCTCACAGGATGTGCATTAACAAAAAGACAGAATTGGAATACAAATCAGGTACTGTGATGTGGGATGTGGGAGACCTAAGCAGCATTTTAACCATCATGCTGAATGCTGGATCCATATCTTGGTTTTCTGTTTGTTTGTTTTATTTATTTTGTTTTAATGATTCCATTTATTTGCCAAACAGTGTTACAAAGAGACAAAGAGAAAGATTTTCAATTCACTGGTTCACTCCCAAAATGGCCATGTCAGCCAGGGCTGGGTCGGACTGGGTCAGGCTGAAGCCAGAAGACAGGACCTTCATCTGGGTCCCCACGTGGGTGCAAAGGCCCCTGTACACACCAGCACAGAGCTGGATCTAATGTGGAGCAGCACTCATGTGGAATATTAGCAATGCAGGCAGCAGCTTAACCTGACAGACTACAGTACTGGATCCTATCTTATTTTTTTTTCATTGTGTTTCTAAGATTTGTTTGTAATATATTTGCTATGTTCAAAGATTGTATGTTCAAAGATAAACAATATCTCAAGTTGTAGTTAGGTCTTAAGATCAGCACATTTATCAGTCATTTGAAGCAGAGCAATTAAATGATGAAAATAAGTAGAAGTCAATATTGTGGTTATTTTTTTAGTAACATGAAGTAGATTTAAAATTATATACATGTATATCTTAAAATAATTAGGCCTGTAATGCTTTCTGTGTCTCAGTCATGTTCTGAGTCACAAAAAAATTCCAAGAACCAAAATACACCTGTGGACACAATCTCCTTTGAAAGTAACCAGGTCCCAGGAGGAATAGTAAAAATACAAAATTGAAGACTTTGCAGTTAGAAACCTAGCTCTAATGTTGACCGCTCTAAATATAATCAAATTGTTATCAAGAACAAAGGAAAGAGAAGGCAATACTCTCCCTCCATAAAAATGAGGTCTGAGTTGAACTCTCTAGAATGGAAGAAAAGAAAGGATGGAACTGGCACAGCAGTGCAGACTGACTGGATAAGACCAGAGTTCTCAGGGCAAGGACTACACTTAATCACCTTCATATTTCTAAAGTTTTAGATAGCGCCTAACACATAAAAGGAATCGAAGACATACTTGCTGAGCAAAACAAAGAGTACAAAAGCAAAGGACAAAGGAAGGAAAATAGAACAACAACAACAAAAAAGAGTAAAAGTGCCATTCACAAAGTTAGGATGAGAAAGAGAAGATCCTAAGTGGAGAAAGTCCAGTGTTTATCTAAGTTTGAAATAACAAAATTGAAGTTTACCCATGTAATGTAAAAGGCCCTGCAAGAACACATCCTATGAACAGAAGTTATCAAGTTGAAGTTGGAATAATGGGCAATAAAGCCAGTTTTATCTTTCTTTTCATCACTCTGGGTAGAAATTCAAAAATTTTCTTGAGTACATAATTCCTTATCCATGAAATTCAATAGTCACATTGTTTTACACTCATCTTGATGTCAAACATACTCATTTAGTAAAATGAGACTAAGGACTAAAATAAGTTTTATTAAGCAACTAGTTTATGGGTTATTTTCCTTCCTGTATTTTCAACTAGTTATAATTCATAGTCGTTAATTTTATAATGAAGGGGGAATGTTTTTGAAATGAAATTTAAAAGAACATATCAGTTAACTCGGCAAAATAGGGTTTTATATTCAGTTACGCTAGTTAAGCTGATAGTTTCTCAAGGTAAATAACTGAAAATGATTTTTACTATTCCAGTAGAGCAAAACATTATATATATTCTAAAGAAAAAGAGGATGTGTGTACTTAAAACATCTTTATTATTTAAGTTTAAATTTAACAATGGTATACATATTTAGAACTACAGGCATTAAAACATGAAAATTTCAATCCATTATTCAAATTACAAATTTTTAAGTTATAATGAGTTAATAAAAAACTATGAAGTAACAGTTAGTTGTATGGGATTTTACGTTTAAATGACAAGTATAAAGGAAAATACACTGTCATGGTGTACTTGATTCAATTCCTTAAATGGTGTCCTAATTTCCTTGTGTTGCACAATCCTAGTTGTCTCCATCATAAAAATAATTTTTCATTATAAAATGCCTAAGATAGATTTCACATCCACATAATATCACGTGCTCCAGGAATATCTATCTAGAAGGGATATGGGGTACTGATTTTCGGAACATTCAGTCAAAAAATTAAACATTGATATAGTTACAGATATTTAAAAACTGAGCAGCAATTTCTTTAGTTTTTAAAAACAGATTGTATATTCCTAAAAACCTTAACATGTAATTGTATTAAAATGCTATTTCCATCCACAGGCTATCAAGGGGTTTTTTTTGGTGGTATTCTGAAAAATCAATAAACTGCTATATAAAACATATCTGAAAGTGCATTGTTCCAAATACCTAATATTATAGGAATTGCAAATTTGTAGCACATCAGATGTAAGGCTAGCTTCATATACCTGACACTCAATATTTCATTTTTTAAACATCTTCTGCATTGGTAAAGAGTATAAGATTTTTAGATTAAGATGCTTTTGAAAACTGTTTCCAAACTCCTTCTTTTCCATATTTTTATAAATAGTCTCATCTATTTCTTAATATAAATTGTTATAAATTCAATTTTAAAATTATTCCATGATTTCCACATATTGGTGTCAAACATTTTTCCATTACCTAAGAAGCTGGACATTTCTTCTGCTGTTTGATGAAGTTTCTGCTCAATGAATTATTTCATGAAAGATTCTGTCTTGACCAATATCATTATACTTTCCCTGGGTAACCTCAAGTCATTTTTAAAAGATATCTATCATATAAAAGCAGAAGCAGAAAAGATGTAGGTCAAGACATCTCTTTAATAGCAACTGCAAAACACTGTGTTGACTACCCCTCAACCAAAATTTGCTTTGCTGTTGATTTGGATCTTCAACATCTTATTTTGGTACAAAAACAAGTATCCCCCTCCCTCTTTATAAAACACACTCTCTGCTGAAGCCCAAATAAACACATGCACACATTTAATGACATTCATGAACCTTGTAACTACGTAGGTGATCTGTTAACAGATTATGCTTCACAGCCTTATTTAACATGTAATAGTCCTATAAATATTACATTCCACAATTTTTGACTCTGTTAACACAAGGCAGCATTATACAAAAAGATATATCTTGTTTTCTTTCAGGTAATTTCCTAATCTTGATTTTTTAAACCTGAAAAGCACTTAAATGTGCATTTAAAACATTTAAATGTATCATCTCTGAGGAGTTTTCAATAAAGCACAAAATTACAAAATAAATATTGCTTAAGTAATAGATATTACTTTTAAAACATACTAAGGAATTTTGGGAGATAAGTTCAATATGTAAATAATATTCCATGAAATATTCAACCAAATTTTAAATTTATAAAAAATCAATGATATCAACTAGGAAACCGGTTTGCAGCTTTTTAACCTCTTGACAACCTGTTATAACAGAGAACCTAGTGTCACTTAAAAAATTACACCGTTTCCCAAAAGGGTTAATTCTCAAAAGTCAGTGAGTAAAATTTTACCAAACACTGTTATTGACTATTTCAAAACACGATTTTAAAATGCTAGCAGTTAAATATTACAAATAAAGTACTAAAAAATTAAAAACTCAAAAATAAATTAGCCTACTCTGTACCACAGCCATGAATATTATGGGATACAACTATTAAAACATACTTAAATGAGGTGTGTGAATTGACACAGATGGAAGAAAACTGATGTATATATCATGTTCCTGTTCTATCACCTTCTAAAAACAGTAATGCTAAATTAAGGGGGGAAAAAGACAACCATAGGGGGCCTGGCACAATAGCGTAGTGGTTAAGGTCCTTGCCTTGTACGCACCAGGATCCCATAAGGGTACCAGTTTGTACCCTGGTGGCCCTGCTTTCCATCCAGCTCCCTGCTTTTGACCTGGGAGAGCAGTTGAGGACGGCCCAAAGCCTTGGGACTGTGTGGGAGACCCGGAAGAAGCTCTTGGCTCCTGGCTTTGGATTGGCTCAGCTCCAGCTGTTGTACTCACTTGGGGAGTGAACCATCAGACAGAATATCTTCCTCTCTGTATATCTGACTTTCCAAATAAAAATATATCATACACAAAATGATTGGGCCTGCCATGACAGCCTAGTGGCTAAACCCTCGAGCCAGAATCCCAGATGGATGATGGTTTGTGTCCCAGTTTTCCACTTCCCATCCAGCTCCCTGCTTGTGGCCTGGGAAATCAGTAAAGGATGGCCCAAGGACTTTGGGACCCTGCATCTGCATAGGAGGCCTGGAGAAAGTTCCTGGCTCCTTGGTCAGTTCAGTTCCAGTCATTGCGGCCATGTGCGAAAAAAAACAGTGGATGGATCTTTCTTTATCTCCTTCTCTCTGTATATCTTTCTTTCCAATAACAAAAAAATCCATCTTTTTAAAAAAGGCAAAGATTTTAAAAGGAAAAAAAAATCCACACAATAATAGCACAACGTAACAAAGGAAAAACGTTTAAAACATGTGAGCTTAAATGGTAAAACTGAAATAAATTTTTTTTTCAGGGTTGGCATCATGGCACAGGGGATAAAATCCCCATCTGTGACACAGGCATCTCATATCAGCAATAGTGTCCTAGCTGCCCTGCTTCCAAATCCAGCTTCTTAGGAAATGCAGAAAACGGATCCTGTGCTTGGACCTCTGCTACCTGTGCGAGATACCTAAACAAAGCTTCTGACTCCTAGATTTGGCCTGGCACAGCCTTGGCTGTTGTGGTTTCTGGGAGTGCGTGAACCAAGAGATGGAAAATCTGTCTGTCACTACCAGTCTCCCTAACTTTCTCAAATAAATACATAATTGTAAAGCAAAAACAAAAATGAAAACAAAATTTCTTGTTTCCACTGATAAAAAAAAAAACATTGAAATAAAAATCTTCTATAAAACCATAATTGCAGAGCCCGGGGTGCTAGCCTAGCAGCTAAGGTCCTAGTCTTGAAGTTCTAATCTTGGCAGCCCCACTTCCCATTCAGCTCCCTGCTTGTGGCCTGGGAAACCAGTTAAGGATGGCCCAAAGCCTTGGGAACCCGTTTCCGCATGAGATCAGAAAGAGGCTCCTGGCTCCTGGCTCAGCTCCGGCCGTTGTGGCCGCTTGGGAAGTGAATCATTGGACAGATCATCTTCTTCTCTGTCTCTTCTCCCCTCTATATATCTTACTTTCCAATAAAAAATTTTTAAATATTAGTAAAGAAATATATGATAGTGAGTTCTATGAGGATACAATGTGAAAGAACATAATTTAGCTCCTAGGGAACATTTTGAGTTGTTTTATGCAAGTCATTAGTAGTTACATCTATCAGTAAAAATACTTTAAACTTCTTTTAAAATTTAAATCCACTTGAAATTTAAAAGCTACATCAAAAGATTATTTTTCATTTGTATTACCTAATTGTAAACCTATTGCTATAATCTGCTGTAATGCTTAGTAAAACTTGGTAATACTAGGTGAAAGTTTTCATGAATGTCAATGACAAAATAAATACTTTTATATGCAAGGTTAAGCTGAGCAATTAAGAAAAGCTGGGATGATTTATGTTTTTTGTCTTGCATAAGTGTGATAAAACTTTAAAAAATGTGAATACCAACCCATTTCCAGCTTTTGAGTTGCCTTTGTTGTCCGTGGTAAGCTGAGAAAGCACATAGTGAGGTGCTTTGGCACTGTCGGCATCAAATATATCCATATTGGATTCTTCACAATCTCGTCGTTTGATCCCAGGCCTCTGCTTTGGATTTCGTTTTCGTGATTTACGAGGTACCTCAGTGTTATCATTGTAGGAACTGGTGCTCATGTTACTGAAGTTGGAGGGGGAATCCTCCATCCACATACTGCAGCTCTGCTCAGACTCCAGTCCACATCCCTCATCCTGGCAGGACATCCGACTGTTATCCAGCAAGTCTTCAGGGGGTGGTGAGATGTACAAGACTGTGTGTCTCTTCGGTGTGGATGGATGCTGCTGGACTGTGTTACCGGTGAACTGCTTTTCACTTACCCCTCTGTTACTTACCCCCACGGCTGAGGAGCAGCCCTCCACTTGCATAGCCTTGCTGTCGGTGACTGAGGTAGAATAAATGGTAGGGCTGGAAGAGGTGGTAAAGGAGCTGCAAGCACCGCCCATGGAGGAAGAGGAGGGAGCTGAAGAAGCATCTGCGGTGTACAATTCAAGAGTAAATACACTATACATGTTCTCACCTATGCTGGCTAGCAGTCCCATTGAGTATGTGATTTGTGAACTGATTGTTTTTTTTCCCCAAAATGAATAGTTGGAATTTGGTGAGGTTTTAGAATACAAATGCTTCAAGCAAGACAAAGCCTAAGAAATGCAATTTTTTAAAATGCCCAAATAGCATTATTTTACTTGTTATAATGCATATTTTAAAATCTCAATTTAATGTTTTAAGTTGTAAAGCAAGAATAAAGCTTTAATTGCCTCAGCTGGATGTTCTGTTGAATTTTAATCATTTAAAGTAACAAAGAAAACCCCAGTATGAAATAGATGGTTGTGGTCCACATTCAATGCCAATTAAATAATTCATTATAGAATTTGAAAAGTGGGACTGTGCTTAGCCACAAAATATTAAAATAAGTTTCTAACCTATGAAGCAGAGAACTACAGGTCATTTTTAATGCAGACACTCCCTGCTTCAGAGGCAAATCCTGGAATAAAAATATGAGAAAATAAATGAGAAAAGAGCTGCCGATTATTCCAGATATCAATAATAAAATGAGAAATAAATAGAAAAAGAATATATATAAAGCTGAATTGAAGACAAAAATGGAACTGGTATCCTCACTATGATTGATTGTGAAATCTAGGACAACAGAGGCAAAAAAGGTTGGATTTGGAACATTCTGGGGTTGTTGAAAATAAGCTAACTACCCAGAGCTTCCATGAGCTCTGAGATGAATCGATCTACTCTTTTATGAAAGAATGCAAAGCAAAGTAGGGCCTGAATACTGGATGGATTTCTCTTATGAAGTACTCAAACACATGCTCAGCAACTAGCTACCACTGGCCATTTCCTCTCTTTAAAGGTCTACTAAACGGACTTTCTAATAGACTAACTATACATTTTATTGGCTGAAATGTAAGAAAAAAAAGATTAAGCCTGAAAAGCCTTGACAATATCAGAATTAGTTCCTATAAAAGGATTTTTTAAATTATGCCTAGCAAAAAACATTTTGGAAAATCTCTTTTGCAAGTACGGCAAGTTGCTAGGACAGCTCATTGAAAATACTACTTCTTTTACATTTTTTAGCATAACCTATAGGCACACCAAAACTGCAAAGCCTAGAAGCTGTCATCCCAAAAATTTTGGAAACACCATATATTTTGTACAAGGCATGAAGAGGTTTATAGACACAAAAAATGAAAATAATGTGACAGACAACTAAACTGTATGTTTAAATCTAAGATTAAAATATCTACAGTCAAGTATGCTACTGTGAAAAAAAATTATGTAATACAACTTAAAACCATGATGTACAGTTACTGGACATGTAACATTTATAAAAAATAAGATAGTAAATCAATAATGTATTCAAAACAAGGATGTTAATGTCTGAATAACAAAAGGTTGAGGGCCAAACATCAATTTTTAAATTAAAAACATGTATCAAAATACTTAAATTATTTTTAAAGAACTACATCCACCCAGAATTTTTCATTACTGGCAAGGCTGAAAGGCACAATAATTAATTTAGCCATCAAGAATGTGACCTAAATAATTCCACAAGAAAAGATTTTTCCCAACTACCATAATTCAAGAAAATAAAGTGATTAGATGATACCAGTTCCATTTTCCAATTTATATCCTTGTCAAATGCAGTAGCTGAAATTAGAAAATTCAGTCACTTTAAACTGCATTCCAATTTAAAGAAAAATTGATCAATTTTGTGTCATGCATTAATGCAATGTTTTCTTAGTAAATAAATATTTTAAAAGATTTGTAAAAACTACAAAATCTAGATGCTAATGTCAGTGACAGTTTAGGAGCTGATTTGTAGCCACTTTGGGTTTTATATATTTTAGTTTCTTGTTTTTTTTTGAAAAAACAAGACAGAATTCATTTTAGAAAAAAAACAGGAAAAGTCTTATGAAAAAATTTCCTCCATCTGTTCCAACTATTGGTGAAAATAAAACTGAAGTTCTGTGTGTGTATGAACCTATTTTTCCCCATTTTCAGAGATACACAAGCATGCAGCATGTAACACTTCCAGTGAAACGCACAAAGCAGGCAGCACGAAAGCATTGACCTTGCATTTCTATAAAGCTGCTTTCTCCCACATACGAGAATGTAGAATATGAACACTTCATAGATCCCTGTCTACTACAGATGCAAAGTACAGGTAAAAAGCAGTCACTAGCCCAACAGCAAGTTATATGGGTTGTGATATTACATCTGTTTTTCATTTGTTTCTTTGTTCATAGTTCCTGGCTCACAACACTCTCTTGTAATTTCCTAAGTAACATGAGAAGCTAATTCATACTAAGGACCTTTTGGATATTTATAACATCATTCGCAGGCTATACAAAATGAATAACTTAAAAATTAGCCTGCTACAGATTTATTGAATTTCAAGTCCCACCTGCAGTTACATTGGGAGGGCCAGATTAACACCTTCATTGAGAGCAGTAAGAATATTCTTTTGTTAAAATTTTGGCCTTTGGTTTGAGTGATAAAGGTGAAAGACAGTGTTTTGTTATTTCTAACAAGCTTTTTTCAACCATACCCAGTTCTATATTAATAAAGTTCCTAGGTAACCATAGGATAGAAGGTTAGTTGCCAGGGGAAAACAATAGTTTCTCAAAGGGTTGGAACTCTTACCTCACACTTGATCTGCAGGGAGAGGGACTGAAGGTTGAGCGGACCATCACAGACCAATGATTTAATCAACCGTGCCAATGCAATGACACCACCATAAAAATTTAACAGGACCGAGAGGTTAAGGGGCTTCCAGGAAGGTGAAAAAGAAGGTAACATTGTACTATAAGGCTAGCTCCCCCCAACCACCATGATGAGGATGGAAGCTCCCACATAATGACCTTTCCAGCCCTCATCCTGTGTATCTCTTCACTGGCTTTTTCATTTGTATCCTTTAAAATACACCTCAGGGCCTGGGGGGCTGACTTCTATGTGCAGTGCCAGGATCACATCACATCACGAATGTTCCATTTCCCTTCTGGCTCCCTGCTTATGGCCTGGGAAAGCAGCTGAGGACAGCCCTTCTCTTTGTAGATCTGACTTTTTGATTTATTTACTTTTATTGGGAAGTCAGATCTCCAGAGAGAAGCAGAGACAGGAGAAAAAGACTCTCTAAGTGCTGGTTCACTCTCCAAGAGGGGGCAATGGCCAGAGTTGAGTCGATCTGAAGACACGAGTCAGGAGCTTCTCCCGGGTACCCCACGTGGGTGCAGAGTCCCAAGGCTTTGGGCCGTCCTCGACTGCTTTCCCAGGCCACAAGCAGGGAGCCTAGAAGGAAAGTGGAGAAGCCAGGATAGAGACTAGCACCCATATAAAATCCTGGTGCACGCAAGATGAGGACGTTAGACACTAGGCTATCACAGTGGGCCCAAAAATAAATAAATCCTAAAAAATAAATCAAATATACTTCACAAAAAATTGCTGAACATCACTAAGTATTTCCCTGAGTCCTGCAAGCTGCTTTAGAAAATGAACTTCGGAAAGGACAGCTAGAACTCTTAATTTGGAGCCAGCAGGTCAGAAGTATAGGTAAAACAACCTGGAGCCTGCAGCCGACATTAGAAATAGAAGACAAGTCTTGTGGGATGGAGCCCACATTTAATAGTATCTGGCACTATGTTCAGGCAGAGTAAATTAAGAGATGTAGAACTGATTGCTGGGTGTATAGTAAAAGCTCACAATACATCTGCTACAAATGTGTTGTGAATATATATTGAAATAAATTCACTGGTATTTAAAAATTTAATATGCAAGATAGCACTGCTCTTTGAGGTAAAAATTTTTATCCTGCACATTTTATTAAAAATAATCATGACTACAAAACCCAAATGATACACAATCACTGCGGAGTCTCTCCTCTAGGAGAGGTATGCCAAACTATGAAATCATATCCTACTCAGATGAGGACATCCTACACATTTTTCTTGCACATCTGACACATATTTACTGCATTTTTAGTACAGTGTTCCAGACATAGTTATCAGGTTAAATAAGTGTATTAGGATAATTACATGCAACTGAAAATATTAACTGTCAGAAGATAGCAGCAAGCATCCTTTAACTATAAAATATTTTTTAAAGCATTCCTTCATTTGGTCCCAAATTTCAAAGAGTTTGCCCATTTTAAGACTTTTTTTTTTAAATATAAAATTTTTATCATAGCATTATTGGATACTGATGTTCCTCCGGCGATAATAGAGCCTACGGAGTTTCTTTAAAAGCACATGGATTTTAAAACGTCCTTGCACCAAAAAGAACTTAATTTTAATTCCACTTTCCATAAATTCATGGAAGTCCCCTAGCACAGTCTTTCACATAAATGCATTAAGTTCTAGTTAGCAAGAGCTCACCAAAATGCATTAGTAAGGCCAGGAAGAGTGAGGCAAGGGAAGATAAAATGTGCAGGTCCTGTGAAAACGTGCATGGTATTCTCATCTTAGTTCCTATAACCACCTACCATAAAGACTTAGGTGTAGTGAAATGTTTTCATTAAACTGATGCGAAGCCAAGTGTGATATATATTATACTAAAGTTAGATGTAAATGCGAAATACTTCTCAAACTGCTAAAATGTGTATTACTATGACATCACTATCCGATTTTAGTAAAAAAAATCTACAATCTAGAAATAACTATTCAGTATCACTAAAGTTCTTTGAGATACCTAGAATCCAAAATGAGTTTTTATGTATTATATAAATTTTAAAGTCCTTAGTGTTACTCAAACCAGAAACATAAAATCAATGATTTCAAAAACATTTGAGATGATTTTTTTTAAGATTTATTTATTTTTATTGGAAAGGCAGATATACAGAGAGGAGGAGAGACAGAGAGGAAGATCTTTCATCCCATGGTTTACTCCCCAAGTGGCCGCAACGGCTGTGGGTGAGACAATCTGAAGCCAGGCTCTTCTTAGTCTCCCATATGGGTGCAGAATCCCAAA